TAGTTTCCGGGAGTTCCTCGGAATGATCTTAATTAAAACCATCGAAAATTTTGACGCAATTTTTTCGTTTGTCTTATTTTCTTTTTAGTAAATCCAAATCAATTTACCCGGTTCTAGTTTCTGAATCGTTGCAATTAAGAAACATATTTTGCCTTTAATCAATCGTAAAAACCGAGCAAAGAATCAAAAGCGCCCGTTTAATTTCGAAGCAAATTTCGACCCGATATTTTCGTTCATTCTATTTCCATCTTTATTAAAGCGACGTATATGTATGTATTTTCATCAACGAAAAAATTATTTAATATTATTACTTTTATTAAAGCGACGTATATGTATGTATTTTCATCAACGAAAAAATTAGACATCGTCCGAATTCATGAATCCCTGCAATTGTAATCTTCCGTCACATTCTTACGACGCAATGATACAACTATTTGAACTCTCCGGAATGCGTGAGGTATCACGCCGCATTTGAAGGCGTTTTCAAAACAGCCAAGTTCCGATACTCGGATTATCGTTTTGCATAGTTCATATTATATTTTTTTCATTTCTAACCACTTGTTTATTTATAATCCTCCTATAAAAACCACCAATTTGATAAATACAATTCTAGCTGAAGCGCAATTCAGCTACGCATTCACCACTGCAAAAATGTCGAAGGAAATCGACAAGCCCAGCGTACAAAGAGGCTATTTCCATTTTAATCTTCCGTCACATTCTTACGGCGCAATGATACAACTATTTGAACTCTCCGGAATGCGTGAGGTATCACGCCGCATTTGAAGGCGTTTTCAAAGCAGGCAAGTTCCGATACCCGGATTATCGTTTTGCATAGTTCATATTATATTGTTTTCATTTCTAACCACTTGTTTATTCTTAATCCTCGTATAAAAACCATCCATTTGCTATATGCAATTCTAGCTGAAGCGCACTTTAGCTATGCACTCATGACTGCAAAAATGTGAACGGAAATCGAGAGGGCCGCAGCGTGCATGGAGGCTATTTCAATTATTATGATCAGAAACGGTCTGGCTCCTCCTGGCTAAATTGTAAACTACTTTAATAGGTATTTTAAGAATTTATGAAAGAAAAGTTTTGCCTTCACACGCTTTATCATTTTATTCTATTCATTGGTCTTCTCCCGGACTGTTTTTAAACGTAACATGCATTAACGTAACATTATTTAGTAAATTGCAGAGGAAGGGCCCCAAAATTGAGTTAATTTGAGCAAAAAATAAAACCACATGCAAGTAAAAGTGGAGACTTTTCTTGTATGAATTCTGTTCATGAATATCACGTAAAATGCGTTACTCTGATTAAACAATTTCTTTCCACTGTGCCTTATTAAGGGTAAAAAAAGGGGAAGAGGCATTCTTGAGCGGAGGTTGGTAGAGGGTGCAGAAGGAAATTCCAGTGTCAATGGCTAACATTTGTCTGGTAAAGACTATCATCGATGTTCTTACGCATTGATCTACTTTTCCGACTCTGCGGTTAGGTCGCCAAAAATATGTACGTTCGAAAAAACGTTAGTGCGTGTTGAATGATCATACCGATACCTGTTTACCCATGAGAGATTAAGTTTGCGAATAGTTGCTTGCTCCTGAATCCACAAATAACTGGCATCTTTATAGCTTTTGAAAAGTAAAGCATACGCTGGAAAATTATTCTTGCGTGTACGGACTTTTCGACTTAGCATTCTACACTCGGCACTCACTTTGACTAAAGTGCCTGTGAAGGGAGAGTAAGACCCTTCATTTATTTCTAGTATCGGAGAGATGTGCCGCTTTTCCATCGGTCCATGATCGGTATACAGTCATGTAGCTCTTTACGGCTGTAGGTAAACAAATATTCCTGGTGGTTGATATCCGTTAGAAAAAGTACGCCGACCATATCACAAACAAATCTCAAGGTGTATCTTTACCCTCTCTCCATGAAATTCGTGACTTTCTTTGAACGCGATGATGTCATAAGAACCTAAAATTAAATGTAATGCCTTCATTTTTTCTTTTTTGTTTTTTTTTTGTTTTTTTGTGCGTAAGATTATTACGTTACTTATTAGATAGTTTATAATTATTTATTTAAATCTAGGTACCTGAGAGGGGCCTCAACGATTGTAACCGCTTTTCCACAAATTCCGCAACAAAGAAATACCTATACTTTTCCGTGGTACGGTGCTGTAATTCGGCTGGATAGTCGCAGATCCCTACAATCTCTAAAAGTTCCTTCATTATGTCGGGTATGCAATCCTGACATCAGCATGCTAAAATAATGTACCGAGATAGTATCGGACTTTTGACCCAGGTCAAAGGGGCAAGCCGTATGAGGCACCCTCACTTCAGGTGCTCTGCCGTGCTAGGGAAGAACGCCGTATGAACGCGAGAGATGCCAAATGTCCCTTGATAAAACATGGATTTGTGACAACATTCGTGCATACTTTTCCTTGAAATTTTCAAATATTTTGGATCGAATGGAGAATTTGCAAGGGTCTGAAATTTGATAAATTTCCGGTTTAAGTGGAATCCTCTGAGTGAACTGAACACGAAGATACCCTTGATTCATAAATTGAGCAATTATTAGAGGAGATATGACAAAATAACCGATTCTGCTAAGATACATGTGTTTAAATGGGAAATGCCGCCAGATGACGTCACAAGGCGGCACATTTTCTCACTGTTAAATCAATTTTTCTCCAATTTCCCATGTCAGAAAAAAATTATGAAAAATATTGCGAACTCAGCTCATTAGGCACTTTCAGATGAAGCAATAAAAAAATTGCGTGCAAATTCTCCATTGCGCACAAAAATTGTCTGAAAACTTTGGAATATAATATTCAAAATTTTCCCAGTAGATTCGGTTTTTATCGAAGGAAACTCGGCAACGTCCGAGGGCTCGTGCGGCGTTCTTCCTTAGCACGGCAGCACTTGGCTGCCGATCATCGCGATCATTCTAGGCTCCTTCATCTCGTTGAATATGCAATTTGATTTGCGGAGAGTTATAAGATTTGCACCAAGAAGTGAACGTCCGCCGACCTTTTCGGGAAAGGAGGAGCAATTGGACGTATTTCTGCCAAACGGAACTATGTGCATTGAGACATGAGCCCTGAGACCCATTAGAATTCGTGCATAACACCCGTGTAACATTTTTCTTCTATTTTTGCCACTGTATACCGAAATTTAGAAGTAAAAACCCGGGTGTAGACCGAGTTTATCTGATATTTTTTCTTCTATTTTTGCCCATTACTCCAATGTATTGTAGAAGAAGATTTAGCAGCTACTTTTCTTCTGACAACACCGTTTTTATCTTCTACGATATCGCTGAGAAGCCCCGGATTCCTCCGGATGACCTTGAGACAGCGATCTTCTATTTCGGCTCTAATTTTCTTCTGCATTAGAAGATTCACCAGTAGCCTTTCATCTATTGCAGAAGTAATGTAGAAGAACTTGCTCTGCCTCTACCGTAAACCCATTTTAGAACATCTTTATCTGCTACATGGTCAAACGGTGTAGAAGAAAAAAAAAATTTAGAAGAAAAATGTTACACGGGCAGGGCTCACGTCATTATGCACATAGTTCCGTTTGGCAGAAATAAGTCCAATTGTCCGTCTTTCAATGTGGGATTCTACATTTTATTACCATATGTTTACAATGCGATCAAACTCAGATGTCATCGGTGACACTTGAAGCCCACCGGATAGTGATGTAAAAGATGTCCACTCTCCCTCCCTGGAAGTTACACCGGAATCGCATGCTGAATGTGGGAGCTGAATGTGGAAGCCATCGGTCCGAAGTCTGAATTTTGCGCGTGTCGCGCAAAATTCAGCAACGAGTCTCAGCGACCATCGGATAATGTCGGATTTGTCGGAACTATTCGAATAAATTTGACACAAATCTGCATGAAAATAACTCGAATTTGCGAAATGTCAGCCGCTGAGCGATGATTGTTGACTTCCATATTCAGCTGTCAAATTCAGCGTGTGATTCCGGCATTAGCTAAGTTTGGGGGTCTCCGGACCATAGAACGTAACAGCATTCCAATTTGAAAAATTTTCACCGAAAACCATACAGGATTTCCAAAACTCTACAATCCTGTGATCCTAGGATTGCAAGATCGCGGTATGTGCAATGTTTGGAAATTTTGCACACCGGGGCAAGTTCGACACCAAGTAATTACGACTTTTCAACGAATGGAGTGTGCACCGTGGTATAGGCGCAATGCATGAAGTGTCCTGCAGACTCGTAACGCGCTATACGATGCGCCGAGCGCACCGTGCTGTACGCGCAATGCATGAAGTATCCTGCAGTCTTGTACGGCGCTACTATGCTTTCCGCTCCGGCCGCACTGTGTCTGATTGGAACAGATGAAATAAGAACGGAAATTTTGAAACACCGCCATGGAGATACGTGGTTTCGCACTTCGATCGGTGCGATACGTCCATCCATCAAGTTTAAATAGTTGCATCAAGTCCCTGTCTCCGCCAACCAACGCGTCCCTCAATCGACCCAGTTTCAGTTGGTGCGTAGGAAGGCAAAACGCCTTCAATTTGTTGAACGCAATACGGACATCCGTCGAGGTTGTATAGTTGTATCAAGGCGCCGTAGCAAACGCGTCCCATTGTTTATCGTTACAGACGAATATAAGTTGAGAGAGGAAAGTCAAAATGCCTTCAATTTTATACATACATATTTTTGGGCAAAATGAGAGACGACGTTTTTCCATTTTCGACGTTGCAGACTTCCTAAGAAACTTTGAAGAGGGTTTCTCTAAGGTGGTGTGGAGAGAGTTCTTTTAAAGATTAAGCTGCATCGGATAATCTCACGCTGTTGTGTATTTCCTTCGGAAACATTTCGGAAAAACAAACAGCAGAATGCGCATCTTCATCAATTACCCGTCAATTTGAATTTGGCGCCATAAGTTTGCTCGTCAATAATTTTCTTCGGCTAAGTTCGGCACTTTCCGACTTATCAATTTTTCCCATCGTCCCATCGTCCCATCGGCCGAATTTGAGGTTAGAGTTAGACCCTTTTCTACTTACAAGTTCGATGAAGCTCTAAGTTCAGATTCCGGTGAATTTGTCAAGTTAATCACCTATTGTAGTAATTTTTAAGGTCCCATCGTTTTGAGTTCGTTATTTTCGGGGATCTACAGTTTTTCGTTTTTACCGTACGTCACAACCAAAGGTATGAAGGTTTTTTTTGTTGGGACCCACATCTTTTGCCATTTTGTTAGTTCCTGCCACAATTTGTGCCTCCTAAGATAAACCCAATTTGAAATATCTTTCAATCTTTGGAAGTGCTTAGAATCATAAATACCTTTTTTACTCTCCAAGATTGGCGAGAACAATTCGTCACTATCAGTTGATTCCTCTCCTCACTAGCAACCTACATTTCCTAATCCGTCTCGGACAACTGCTGCTCACAGTGTAGATATTCCTTGCTAGTCAATACTTAGTATGGGTTCTTAATTAATTGCATGTCTTAATTAGCTGTTTTCATACTTTCCGGATAATGACTCTTAGCCCTCGAGTAGGCAACTTTCCTAGTTTTGATAGTTTGGCAAGCGTGAAAGCAGTCAAGACATTCTAAGTTTTGTCGGATAGGTCAAATTGGTTGCCTTCCATCACCAGGCCCTAAAGTGATGCTTAGTAATAAGATGAACAAACATGTTCTCTTCTAGATTGAAATACCTTAATGGGCCTGTTGCAAACTTTTGCTAGAGCAAAACTAAGAGTTGTTTCTTATAGATAATGCCTCAAAAATCACGATGAGCGCATCGGCAAAGTCTGAAATGCACTCATAACTTCACAGTCTGCGTAAGAAATTTGCGGTTTTTTGAGCTTCCTGCTTCAAAAGCGATACTACGGCACAGGTGAACATTTTGTAAGAGGAGTCGTTCCATCGTCGGCAATACTCATCATGGCCGACGCCAATCCGCCAAAACACGTGTGATGGGACGAGATAATACCTGAACTGGATTAGACCCGATAACAATCGGCGTGTTTTAACGTTCATGTTTTCCACGCCCGCATTGATTGACCTTGAACTCTCCTCGAATTACGCGCAAAACTGCGCGCAAGTGTCGGCCATGACGAATATCGCCGACGATGGAGCGACTCCTCTAACAAAATGTTCACCTATGCCGTAGTATCGTTTTTGAAGCGGGAAGCTTAAAAAAACGCAAATTTCTTACGCAGATTGTGAAGTTATGAGTGCATTTCAGACTTTGCCGATGCGCTCATCGTGATTTTTGAGGCATTATCTACAAGAAACAACTCTTATTTTTGCTCTAGCAAAAGTTTGCAACAGGCCCATTTGAACTTGAATTACACCATAAGAAAACTTACTCAGCTCATCATGATCAGGCTTGAAACTTTATCAATCGGTATGCTTCATCGTTACGTAACAAATGATTGGAATAATAAGCTGATGATTCTCACCACCTAATTTGCCTGAAAAAAATTAATGTGGTTAAGCCAATGACCTGTAGCCTAGGTATTTTATCCTTATCACATCTCCTGCATTCCATTCAAAATCGTGAGAGGTTAGCATCCACTTAAGTATGAGGTAGCTTCCCACGCAAAATATCAAAGCTCAACTTATACAAAAACAAAGGTGTGAAAGCATCTGTCAGTCTCAGATGTAGTCTATTGCATGTTTTGATATGTTTCCTTATCAGCTGGAATTAACTTATCCTCTTTTTTATTCTAGAGAATGTTCGACTGCGAAATATGCCGAGTGAAACTCAATGGAGAAGTTATCAGAGAAGCTCACCTCAAAGGAGCAAAACATCAGAAAAAGGTAACATTCAGTACTACATTTTACTTGTTACAGCGAGAGTATGTTAGCCCAGTTTTTCTTGTGTCACTTTTATATTACTACTATTGCCAATCAGAGGTCGTCCTTGTATGCACCTCTAAGATGGGAAATGAACATCACAAGAACCCTCTTGCTACAAGTGTCTGTCTTGTACCAAGAAGTTTCATCATTGAACACACTTCAGAGGAAGCATATCGACGGTGAAAGTCGGCAATCACATAACTCGGTTTGCGACGTTGCAGACTTCCTGTCATACTTTATTTTTTAAATGGAAAACTACTCAACGGCAATTCTTTAAAACTGTCATGATTTTTCTTCTCCATGCGAAGAAAATTCTGCAAAAACTTCAAGAAATAATATCAATTTGTTCTCCTTTAAAAAAATGACGTAGAGGCGGAGATTTTCAGACACCGCAAACGAGTTATGTGATTGCCGACTTTCACCGTCGATATCGCCCATAGCAATCGACTTTAGTTGATTTCATCATGGTAGAACCGTATGTTCAGCAAACATTTTGGGACAAAAAATGATATAAAATGTTAAACCAAACTGAAGTTCGGCAGTTTGAAGTTCGTAGTTTCATAGACATAGTCTCAAGAAACTGCTATCAATAATTCTAATCTGGCATGTTCGGTGCACGACATTGCCTCATAATGATTCAACTTAAAGTCCTGTATCAGCTTAAATGTAAACTAAACAATTTGAAAATCTACTATTCGGACACATCAATAAAAATGTCTTTATTGAAGATTTTCCCTTCTTGGACTGTGGTCCCTTTTTCTTTGGGCAATCATGTATCAATTAAAATATTATTTTTATTCTATTTAGGTAAAAGCAGCTGAAATGCAATCGCTAGCAGAAACCGACTCATCAATCAAGGTTGAGGCCAACAACGTTTATAGCTGCAAAGTATGTGATATTGTGCTCAATTCCCATGTGCAACTCAAAGCTCATCTTGATGGTAAACAAATAAACTTACTTTGATGTCAAAAATTCTTATCTCTTTTCTCTTTTCTTTTTTTTTTTAAATCTTTAGAAAAAAAGAAGGTTCAGGTAGCCGCATTTGGGGGCATTTCAGTTGTTTTAATCTGACTCTTCTAGCTAGAACTAAGCAAATCAAGGTATACAATTCTTTATTTGTAATTGTCTCAGAGAGCACTTGAATTTACTAATTAGAACTCCTTGAAAAGTCCTTGATTTCGGAATTAGAAATAGGCCATGATTCTTTCATGAGCTGGGGGGTTGATTTTATTGGAACTTGTGGCACCAATGTGTTTTTCATTATATTATCTAGTTAAATTATACATCCCTATTTTATGCAACAAATCATTTAGTCTGTTGTATTTTTTCTAGGTTCTAAACATCAGACCAAAGTAGCACAAGCTGGACAACCTAAAATGAGAACTGAATCAGGATTACAGATGACCCCTATCTCAATCTCTGCTACAGCTAATCCAGGTATAACCAATGTATTGAGACATCTCAATATATTAGCAGCCTGAGCTTAAATTACGTTTGAATAGTAACATTTGGATTACATTTTGCAATTGGGAACTACAATTTCTAGCTCCGTTTAGAAACAACGCATTTATTTTTAGTTTCCCTATGCCCTTAAATGTTTTTACAGATAAGCCAAAAATTGCAGTTCCTAATTCAGGGTGTCTACAAGTCCGGAAAGTCAGGAAATAGTACTAATTTTTTAAGGGCGGTCCAGAAGTACTGAAAAAGTGTAGAAATCCCACTAGAAGATCAGGAATTTTTTTCTTTTTTTTGTCGTTTCTGTCGCAATTTGAGCGAGAAACTTAAATTTTTGTAATTTGTCAAATTTTGTCTATTGGAGGTACTGATTAAGTACTGAATTTTTCTGTTGAGGAGGTACTAAATTTCTTGGGAATGAACTGAAAAAGTACTGTATAAGTACTGATTTTTGGCTAACCTGTTTTAGTAGACACCCTGAATTTGCAAATTGATGTCCATTACTATAGAGTGTCCCAGGGCTAAACGGCTCCTCTGCAGGAGCAAGTTTTTGTGGTCACAATAAGACTCTTTCCATCCACAAAGTTTTATTTTCCAAAAGTTCCTCCAGTAGAGGCTATAGCTCCCTCCCCCCAGGGAAATCATTGGTTTTTCTTAATGTTGGCTACATTTATGAACCAAAACTCATCGAAAATGGATATCCTCTATCATATTCAGTGCTGAATTCATCCATTGCTTCAAAAATAGGGCCTCAAATTAAAGGTTAGATAATGGTTTTATTATCTAAGGTTACTTATTGTTAGTATATTTCATGAAATTAATGTAGTTTATTTAAATCATGTAGCCTAAATGAAATTTCTTCAAGAAAGAAAAAATCAAAGAGAAGTTTTAAGAGTTCTTGGATTGGCCATTCATGGTGCCATAATTAGAGTACCATTGGATTGGGAGTAATGTAATCTTGGAAAATGGTTTTTCTTTTTTTTTTTTCTCCGGGGCTTTTCGAGCACATCTCATGAATGGACAAAAACAGTTGCAAAGAGGCTAGAAAGTGTGGATCTAATTATGTTGAGACTTGTTTCATGATCTATGTTAGTAGCCAGCTGCTCCGCTAGTATATTTATCCACTCAAAATTTAGGCAGCGTCAAATCCTGTCATAATCCATGGTTTCCCTAGTATGGCATTATATTCCTCTGATGATTTTAGTCTTCTCTTTCCACTCTATGTCTGCATCAATGTTTTTTTATTTTTGTTGCCTGCCCTCAATTGTTTTTTCAAAGTCTCTACATTAATTTTTAATTTTTTCAGCTCCAACTCCAAAAACAGGACCAGACGGCACTTCAAAAGCAGAGTTTTTCTGTGCGCATTGTAATGTTCACGCTAACTCAGATCTTCAGTACCAGCAGGTAAAAAAGAAATATCATTTTCAGGAGATGCTCTTAAAAATTTTAGCTGCCAAGTTTGGAATGGACCACCAGGCAAAGTTCAAAATTAAATATTTTGGCACGGTTTCGTTCTTCAAAATTTCATGAAGGTTACAATCATGGGTGGCGGTAGCCACCTCTGGACAAAGTCTAAACTGGACAACACTGGAAAGCGTCCAAACAAAAAAGGTGGCAGCCAACCATAGACACACGTAACTCCCTTATTCTGAACATTGATTCGGTTCTAACTCGACTGCAGCCCAAACGACAGCACGGATTCCAACGATCTTGGTGTCTATTTTTGTAACAAAAATTAATAAGATGTACTCTTAAGCAAGAAAATAGTGTTTAGTACCCGACGATAATGTATAGTACTTATGCAACTTATCTCCAATGTTTTTTCATGAGTGGGAAGTTTGAATCAATGTATCAAACAATGATAATATCCTGGTTAGGTGTGTTTGTCGCACAGATCATGTTCTTTGTGAAATTTTGATGAGGAAACACAAATCATAATGCTCTAATTTGCTCCCTGTTCAGTGGTCTATTCAAATTATCAGATTAAAATTATATTTAAAGCAATATATCGGTATTAACATGGGCCTTGAATTTATTTTCCAGGAGACTAGAAAGCATCCTCAACCAAAATCCTGAAATATCAAATTTTTCTTGGAACTTTCCTTGCCTCGTAATCATTAGTCAGTGCGGTGCGAGCTCGCAGATTGGTCGACTTGTATTTATTCTAATCGCTTTTTTTAAAAATATGATACAAACTTTTGAAATATGCCAAATTTTGCGAGGACCATAGGTGGATTTTTTAGTAATTTAGTGAAAGTTATAATGTCGGCACTGAAGAAGTCCTATATGGGGGACGAAACGCGTTTGCCTTGAATTTCAATAACAAAGAAAGCTAGAGTGCTTGTAAGTAACTGTTTGATTAAATTTTTCTTCCAACTTTTCAAAAACTACACTTCTAAGAAGTCCCAGGAACGCATTTCCAAGGCTTACTCTTATGTCTCCAAATGTCACCTATTAATGTACAGTCTGTATTTATATTTCTTTGTTAAACAGCACATGAGCTCTCAGAAGCATCTCAACAAGGTGAATCTGGCAGGACGAGAGGGTGCCAGAGCAGGGAGAGGCAAACCGTATAACCGATCTCAGTTCACGAACAATGGCTACAGTGGTCCTGGCAACAATGGCTACAGTGCTCCTGGTAATAATGGCTACAGTGCTCCTGGCAACAATGGCTATAATGCCCCGGGCAATAATGGCTACAGTGCCCCTGGTAAGAATAGTTACGGCGGTCCAGCCAAGCATGCTTTCAGAGGCAAGGGGCAGCGAAATCTCCAAATGGGTGCTATGAATGGTGGCTACAGGTTTCCATACAACTACAATGGCGGCTATCCGAGGAGCCGGGGAGGTGCTCATTTCTATCCTGCCGGATACAATCCAGGGAATTTCATCAAGGGAGGCTCTCTGCCTCCTATGAGCACTTTTTTCCCTAAAGCTGGCGCCGTGTGATTGAACTTACAAAAAAAATCTGGTGAGGAATTTCTCTATTCTTATTCTTATTCTTATTTGTTTCTGTCCTTCAACCTCAGATTGTCTACATAGGTGAGAAACATGAATGATTCAAGAGAAGTAAGTTTGCCCTAAAGTCACAACAATTTTCTTAGTAATAGAAAAAATGACTTTATTGTGGTAGGAATGTTTACTCAAAACCGAGAAAATGTCGGTTAAAATTCAGGTTACGTCGAATTTTGGTTTTTTACGGTGATAGCCACAAGTTTTTGAATTTTGGCTGCTTGAATGATTTTGACGCTGGAGTCATGTATTTTCTACTCTCATGCAAACACAGAAAAATTTAAGAAAATAGAGAACATTCAGACATCAAAATAAATCCTGCATGAAGGAATTTCATCCATGAGACGTTAATTTTCTGCTCTTGCTCGAATCTCGCAATCTTTTAATTTATTTTGTGATCACCAAATCAACAATTTTGAAAAACTGCATCATTGAAAATTACAGCCGAGCAGGGATGGAAAGGAAAGAAACAATAATTAAAATTATATTTTCTAAAAAAGTTTTTTTTATTCACATCATTTAACAAAGCAACGACTATTTGGTCTTTATTCATCACTTGCATTCTATTTATCTGACATATAATGTCATAAAAGAATATACTCAAAACACACACACACACACATACATACAAAAAAAAATTTAAAAAAGTTATCAAACAAGAACAAGTAATGTTAAAAAAAGAAGAGCAACTGAAAAATAAATATTAAAAAATCTTTGGTATAATAATTACCTTAAAAAAATTCATATCAGGTAAATGAATGATTTGACCTCAGAAACTTTGTTTAGTCCTCTCTTTCCCTCTCACCTGCTGTTTATTTTCTCATTAAGCAATAGCATTGCAACCACACATTCATTTTTATATTAGGAGTAGAAAAATGAAGATTGCATTCCATTTTCAATCATGTTAGCTGTTGAATTTTAACTGATAGTATTCTTTTCGTGAGAGCATCATTTACACAACTACAAGCACTGATGAAGACTGTAAGTCCCAGAGGTACAAATGTATTACCTGCTACTTCCAGGTTTTGGAAGACGGAATCTCCTCACAAATAACCTCATTTAAGGCAGAAACTGTTCCAGCTTCTGTCTTTTTTCAATTTTAGAAAATTTTCTCAAGTTCTGCACTTAGTGTTTGGATTACAATATCACCGTTTCTGATAGCATAAATTCATTTCACTGAACAAGTCATTCAAATCTGAGAGGTGTGATTGCAAGGTAACAGACTTAAACCCCTCAGACCCATAGTGTTTTTTCAGTGTGTGTCTTTTCTCACTAATTATTTGGAACAAAATAAATTATTTCAAGTAAGCTGCGTATGAGTATTTACAAATAAATAAATAAATAAATTAAATAAAGTAAAAATAATAAATTATGCATTGACTTAACTGCTAAAATACACCAATTCAAAAAGCATCAAATCCTTTTGGAGTGTATTTTTTCATCTCCACGTGTTGAATTCCTCCCAATTCTGCAAAAAGACCAGTATTTTACCTAAATTTTTCTTCTGAACTTAAAATGACAATTAATTCTGAATCATCTCATGCATAGCCAAGCAAATCTCAGTCAGAGTCCCCAAAGTCAAGTTGTCAAGTGGTAATTTGTCTACGTATGACATACAGGGGAACGAACCTTATCATATCTTTCTTGTTATAATTTTTCACAAGCTCAACGCATATATACAACTTGTTTGTGTGACTGTATCAATCATAAAACAGTAATGTTTCAATCAGTGGTCACAAGGGACTGGAGACTTTTGAGTGGCAAGTGAGTAAGCTAAATTCTTAACGTTCTCAAAGTCGACAGGATTTAAACCCTCCGAATCTTCGATTATGATAGAGTCTGGTTTTACAGATTCTTGTGTGAGTGAATCGGGTTTTAACAAGTCAGGATTTAAAAGTTCAGGTTTAAATGGTTCAGGCTTAGTGTGCTCTGGTTTATATGGTTCTGGTTTATATGGCTCGTAGTTTAAGTAATCAGGCTCCTGTAAAAGAAAACAGTCATGAAAGAAACAAGCATAAATTCTCTTCTTTATGTGTTTCTCCAAACCCCCCAACTGATCTACTCTCTGCTTATTAAATTTGATCGTCCCAGATCAGATTATTTTGGGGTTTTAGCAGTCAAGTCCACTCAGAGCAAAAGGAAGGATTTCTTTTCAGTCTTTGTGGAAATTTCTCAAAAGAGTATGGCACAAAATTTTGATTAGATCTATCGTTCAGTTCTCAGTTTTGCACTGTGTTAACCTGTTTCCTCATAAAATTTTGTGCATTCAAATTGGTTTTCTGTCCTAGAGAACCCCAGTGCTAGTTGTAGTAGTGGGCTGTCAGTGTATCTTATAATGTCTTTCTGTCTTTTTCTATTCATCAACGTTCTTAAAACTCCTTGGCCCTATGTAAGGAACATTTGTCTCAACGTTATTATTTTTCTTTTTTCGCCTCTGAAACCCCTAATGATCATGATCACAGTGTGAATGGTGACCCAGCGCTTCAGTTGAAGCTTTAATATCTTCAAAGTCTACTGGGCTCAAGTTATCGTATTCCTCATTTATTATTTGTGCGGGAACCTGTAAAAGAATGAAGAAATAAACATGTCAGGTCCAGCGCTTTTACTTGGCAGGCACTGTTCGCAAAATTTGTCAGAGGGCCATCTCAGCACCAAAAAAGGGAATGCTGAGAGTGGTTGACGAGGCGTGAAACTGATTTGAAAATTTTATACAGGCAATGTTGAACTTAGAATAGAAAAATGCTAATAGCTAATGGAACCTTTCATGATACATCAAATATTTTTTTCATGAAGAGATTGATGGGATTATCAGATTTTCTTCCCATTAGAGCTAGGTGCCATATCTCATTATCTTTGTACAAAAAACTCTCTTGGGGAGGTTTTGCTAAGAAAGAGACTGAAATTTGCTAATTTCATCATTTTTCTGATGATAAAACCGGTTGAATTTTGCCCCCTCCCCCTTTCGTTCTTTTTTCATTTTAAAAACTGATTATTTTTCATCCCAGCCATTTTACTGCATCATAGAGCAGTTTGAAAAACTTTGCTGAAAGAGCAGTGTTGACCTTTTTTCCAGAAGTTGGAAATTCCATACTAACCAATATTATTAACACTAACAAAATCTTTAATTTAGTTCTTAGTTAGTTTTGGTTAATTTTAACGTGTTAGAGGGATTTTCTACATTTTTCTAAGGTTCGTATTTTTTATATGAGCCGTCAAGTTTCATCAAAAGATTGAAAAATCCTTGTAGCGTTCATATATTCCTAGAGTCAACCTTTGCCATTTTGATTTTTAGAAGTTCTATATATAAGTATCAAATTAATTTGTTCAATTGAAAAACTGGCGAGTTAACTGTAAAAAGTCTACATCTCTATGAGGTTTTTGAGCTTCATTGAGTTGTTTCTGGGAGAGAAGGACCGCAGTCGAAATAAAAGCTTTCTTTTTTTTAAATGCACCTCAAAATTTCATATAACTTGAGACCACTGTTGATAGCTTCCCTCTGCAGAACGTCACTATAATCTAGTTATTTTTATGAGAAAATCACCTCTGCTAAAAAAAGCTCATTTCTGTCACTTGATTTTAGAATGGTAAGCTTTTCTCAAATATCAATCCTCAAAAATTTAATTTTTTTGTAAAACCTTTTAGTTTTTTCCCCTCAAGTATGCTTCCTCTGATGAATATAATTTAAACATGAGGTTCCTCTCAAAATTTTGGGTTAATTAATTCTACTGCTACCTTCAATTTCCTTCACTTTTGTGCATTGACATGGATGTATTGGGCACAAAGATTTATCGTGCATCGTATTTATTATGTACATATAAGCAAAGGTTTATTCTGAAGTACGCACCTTTTTCGGATATTCTTGCCAGTGACGCAAGTCCATGCTTGGAATAACTGCACTCTTGCAAGATACACGGCGGTTCCTGTGGAAATTATGAAAAGCATGTAGCTGTGCATTTTTCTTTCTTACAAGAAGCTTTATAATAACCCCCCTCTTCACACTGGTAATGTTCCCCATATCTATATACATAAGATCTCCGTAGATGACATTTTCTTTCGCATTGTTTAAAGAACAATGTCTTTTTTGATGAATGGTTTTTTTGGCCCGATCCAAACTTCATCTACACAGCAAGTGTGTTTTAGTGTCTAAATAGAGCTAATAATTTTTCCACAGTCATACATTTGAATCATCGAAACAAGATTGTAAGATGTGCGTTAATGATCCATCTCATTTTAAGTAATTTCCTATATATTATTTGAATCGGAATTGACTCAAGGCAAATTTTAATACTCTTGGAGCATTTACTTACTTTGTTCGGATGTGTTTTCTCATGTCTTATGTTGATTCAAAGTTTGCTTTTTGTTTCAGTTGAGATGCGACCAGCTTCATCATGAGCCACCCATTCCATTTTCAAAATGAGCTTTTGGCAAAACCATCCTACTAACTAGAGCAAATGCTCTCGAATCTTTCTCCTAAATGAAACACTCAGCTATGGGGTGACTTGTTTTTCTTCTGTGTGGTACTCATACAAGAAACTGTTAAGTTTGCCCAACTTCAAGAGATGGTATTTTAAATACCATTCAGATCGTATTGTATCCATCCAATGGGCATCCATTAATGTCTGACTGTGCCGATTTCTTAATTACGTATTCTCATTTTTTATATTTTATTATTCAGTAATTTGAGTTCTCCACGGTTGCATCCCCAAAATTACTTGTTCCTGTATTATTTAGCGTGTGTAGTTGTTTAGAATAGTCGATTATTTTATACTGGAAGAACATATTAGACTTACTCAAGTAACTTTTGAAAGTATTTTTAATAGGCTAAGGAGTTATTTTTGAGGAAGATTTTCAGTGAAAAACGGACTTTCATTTTATTTCTGTTAAATGTAGAGGGTTTTTTTTTTTTTTTTTTTTTCCGCTAACATCGGCTTTGCAACACTATTGAACATCAAACTTTTCACTGTTCTGTAGCCGCAAAAATCTCATTAATTCTCTACGTCATTAAGCAGGTTTTAACTTTTGTTCAATTTGTAGGTATCAGACTTTTATTTTAAATATTTATAACAAGGTCTATTTATTTTAAAGTATAATTTTGGATCAGTAATTTCGCCATGTAAAAGGATGCCTCCTAAAAGTATCCACTTCTAAAACTTTAGTGAGTGATTTAGTTGATCAAACAGGGTTACACTGAATATGTTCTCTACATTTTTTTCACACGTTCCAATCCTTCTCTATCCTTTTTTCAGCCTCTTACTATCTGTTTTTCATTGTTCCAGAAGTAGTCTTTCCTGCTCATTTTATTTGTGACTCCACTATTACTATAAGGACTTGTCCTTGAGGTTTGAGGGAATATTTGTATTTTCTTTGCCTTTTAACATTATAATTCGAGTAAGGAAATTTCCCAAAGTTTGTCTGTGTACCTATTTTATAGTTCGTCACTTATGAAGTTTCATTTTAATTTTTCTTTTGTTGATAAAAAATGTCCTTGTGTGTAGAATTCCACTCAATGATTTGATTTTTCTCTACCGGCAGCAGGGTCTTTTCTCTCTCTCTCTTCTCCTATCAGTATTTCGATTTTCCCTAAAATTTCTAAAATAAATTTTCATATTATGGTAATGTTTAATTGATTTAGTTTTTTTAAGGCACTTACACGTCCTCATGAGGTAGTTTCATGGCTGCTGGCTGGATGGTAACAATACTGTCAGAGTTGTCGCACAGCAAGCGTGCCAGCCGAACTTTCCTTATTTCTTGTAGTTGACCTATTGAGAGATGAACAAATCAAAGTTTTAGAATCATATTCTTTTGAGTTTATGTGCACAAGACCTTATATTTTTCTACACTGCATTGTTAAAATAAATATTTGCACTTGCAAGGATCTCTAGCGACTCATTTTGATCAAGTAATGTTTTATTCGTTTAGTGCTGTTTGAAAAGTTTATTTAAATGTACTACTTGTTTTTATGACTGTGAATCGATTTATAAAATCATGAAAATAAATGTTACAATTTTCAGATAACGTCCTCGCTTAGTTCTTGCTTTGTTGGTGGATGACCTCTACACTACAGGCACTGACTTTAAACAAGCCTCTTGTTGAAAACATGTTATTCAATCAAGTTGCATTCTTACTATAACATAAACTCTTGAAATTCAATTTTATTAAGGGCTCAAGTGGTTCAGCCCACCAGGGCACCTCCTCAACCCAGTTTGCACAATTAATGCTTGGAGGTCAAGGCGCATAAGTGCAGTTTTGCTATTTCGAGAAATATGTGTTCAAAGTTTTGAAATTACATGGATCCTTATGGCGGAGAAAAAGTTCAAACTGACTTTTTGATGCTTAAAAATTTGATGTTGTGAGTGAATTTTTTATAGAATATGCATTACCTAAGGCTAGTTTTACTTGAAATCATTAATATCTCAGTCTTCCTCAAAAAGTTCACTCGTGCGCCTTGCTCTCCAAGCCCTTCCGTAAAATTTTTCAGCCAATGAAGTATTTGCAGGAATTAGACACAGTATTTGATGTAATTACATTTTGATATCGTTATCTCACTAAGTTGAGAAAATAATGACTCAAAACATGATTCCAGTATCATCAATCATGCAGACATTCACTTTACTTGTAATTTCTCATCTGATTTTTATTATTACATATTTTTTTTAATTTGAATTTTTAAGATTACCTAGTGTAAAATCAAATTGTACCTGACTATCCTTAAAGCAATAAAAAGTTCCTGGGTAGAGTTTTTACAATTAATGACAGGTGAAAGGAAAACTCAAGTTTTAGCTTAACTTTTCCTAATACCTACAAAAAGTTCCAAATGAAAAAGTTGAAAATATAGATAAAAGTAAAAATATCTGGACTTGCACTCACTTGGTGTGAAGCTGTTAGGGTATTCACCATTCTCGTACCAAAATCTGTCACCTTCTTTAAGGTCTTTGAAAGTTCGAGCAATGATGCAATTGAAAGTGGGCCCAACAATACTCCCATCTTCAGGTATTTCGGCAACACCCGCAGACCAAAGATCGACATCTGTCGGGAATCTGAAAAAGTAAATGCCATTTCAGCAAGTTTTGTAGAATAGATTGTGAAAACTAATTTATTATTGCTCACAGTTCTCTCCAACTCTGTCTCTTCCTAACAACACCATAGTTAGAGAGCATTACCCCTGTGGTTCAGTAGTATTATCAGCCAGTAATTCTGAGAAAATAAATTTACTTTAATCTGTGCATATTGCAGGGAGAAAGTCCAAAATCCAGCATTTTGATAATAAGATGTTTTATTGATAAGATGCTTTGTTGATAAGATGTTTTTTAATAGGTGGGTATATTTTATTTTTTTATTTTTTATTTTTTGCAAAGAGATTTACATTTTCCAGTACCTAATATTAAAGAGAAAACTGTTCGAACTCTCCATAAAATTTTCTTAAATTCTTCTGTTCAAAGTTTTGCTCACTGATTTTGATATAAAATTAAGTACAAAGCAGCTTTGAGATATTTGCAGAATTATTAAAAATCTAAGAAGCAGTCATAGAACTTTTAAAAGTCTCAACTTTTTAAAGAGGATCTCTATCTACTCGTGCACTCATATCGTTTATTCGTCAAAAATTAATCCAGAACCCAGCATTTAAATCTTGTAGAGAAACAATGACTGCATAGGTAAGCATTTAACTTATTGTCTGATTTTTCTAGCATGTAATAATCAGTTCATACCTGTATAACTTGCGATACATTTTAACTGTATTATTATCAACAACCAGTTGCATGTCAGACCAAGTATCCACGGATGATAGGTTACACCACTTTCTGTACTCTGCATATGAAGGAATACCATGTTCTCTAGCCCTCTCTATGTTGATGGAAGCCAGATCTTTACCGTAGTCATGAGCAGGCTCTTGGAACAAATGATTTGTCACCTGCAAACATACATAGTGAAACTAGCATACCTATTCGAGGCATTAGCGTAGCTAGGAAATTTATTTGAAGGCTTAGGCAGGGCTCTGGGCTCATTCACCATTCAAGGGCATAGAGAAAAAAAAGGAGGTGTTTGCATCTTGAGGATTGTGTGCCCGGTGACGTAGGTTGGTACAACCTGGTCTGCAAAATCCGGAATTCGAAATATGAAAAACAGAACAATAAAGCACAAAAAAATAGAACATATAACGTCCGATTTTTTTTTTGAAATCAACTCATGATATAATTTCAAACACTTTATGTAGAATGCATTTTTTCCATACCTAAACTACACCATTTCCAAGAAAATCGATGATAAAAATCGCCGTACCGACCTACGTCATAAAAAAAAATTCCAAGATGCCCGAAATGCCCTAGTACAAATTGGCGATAGGAGCTGCGTTTCAAAATATCATAGGAATTCTTATAGCCGGCTAAAGAAGGCAATAGAAAATCGTATAGCTGGCTGTAGAAAACGGAGCAAATCATATAGCCGGGCTATACGAGGCGATAAAAAAAGAATACAGCCGGGCTATAGCTCCTATCGCCGGGCTTTACAATTTATCGCCATCGGCTATAAAAGGCTATAAGAAATCATGTAGAAATTTGTGCGCTTTGGAAATCATTAAGTTTGATACGGAACCACCATTATATTTACAAAACACACACTATATTTTCCTTTAATGCATATTTTTTTTTTTTTCATCAATTAAAATGAGAATAATCCATACAGGATGTGCAAACATTTCAAAATCATGGGTTGAAAAACGCTGACTCCGCGAGATTATGTATTGGAGCCCAACACAGAGCGGAGCGGCGTGCTGCCAGAGTTAAGCGCGCAGTAGCGCCTACAAACCTAACAGGGATACTTCACGCATTGCGCAATGCTTGAAGTATCCCTGTTAGGTTTGTAGGCGCTAATGCGCTTTTCGCGCTGGCTTCCCGCCCGCCGCGCCGCAGCGTGCCACGGCGCTTGAAGCAACTATTTCACATCAGAGGTATTGCACAGTATCATACAAAATTGAAGGCGCTCCAACATAGTAGGAATGGCAGGCATCCCTCAAAAGTACGCAGCTTTCCACGCAAAATAAATCAAGATACTATGGCCCAAAAATAGAGCGGTACTTAGTCTAAAAACTCAATAAGTCCTAGCATCCGTTATTAGTAACATTTAGCATTCATTTTATCGCCTGGCTGTTGCTTAATCGCCATCGGCTATAAAAGGCTATAAGAAATCGTGCATCCAGCTATAGAAGCTATTGAAAATCTTACAGCCGGCTTTAGGTCTATGGAATTTGGAACACAGATTCTACTGCCAATTTTTACCAGGGTGCGAAAACTTCCTTTATTCAAGGGGATCCAATGGTGTTGAGCAGTTACATACGCTCAAAAATTTTCGTCCCTTCCCCCTTTAAGGACCCTACGCCCAAGGGCACGAAGAATCAGTAAAATTATTTTTTTCCGGCAATAGGTACCTACTTACAGTGAGAGCAAAACTTGTGAAAGTCTGTAATCGAGATGCAAGATTCCTCAGTTTTACTTTTACTATTCATATTCATCTGGAAGACGAAGCATAATGGTCTAGCAATTAAAAGTTTTGGTACCTATTACTTATGTGTAGTAAAAATTTCTCAGTAATTGTTCCCCGCCGGAGAGTGATCCAATGGGTTTCGCCAAATGAAACAAATCGGCCTGCACAAGTTTTTCTGAAAACGAACTGTCATGAAAAACAGTGAACAGTGTTTTGGTGGATCGGCATTTTTTTAAGATGTACGGTTGTGATAAGTTATTTCCGTCAAATTATATTTTTCCGTAAAAATTACTGCTCCATGAACTGCGCCATGAGAAGCAAAACCTTGCAACTCATTCACGAAACAAAAAATCAAGATTTCTTTGGTCGTTCTATCGACTTAATCGCATTGGTACCATTGGAAGTGGGCATACGCCTGAGTAATTGGACTACATTTTGCAATTTGGAACTATAAATTGTAGCCCGGTTTAAAAACAACGTATGTGCCATTAGTTTCCCTATGCATATAAGTGTTTTTCCAGAAGAGCCAGAATTTATAGTTCCAAATTGCAGAATGCAGTCCAATTGCGTGAATTCAAGAGGCAACAGATAATTCCTATGACGACGCCATACATCCGTGAAAGCGTCCGTCTCGCTCGGTTGACAGACAATCTACCGTGCTAAGGAAAAACGCCGTATGAGCCATCAGGCGTTGTCTAATTTCCCCTGGAAAATCACTAATTTTCAGAAAAATTGTTGAATGTTCATGTACCAATTTCTCAGATAATTTTGTTTGTAATTTGATCTAAAACGTCTGAAAATGTCAAGGAAAAATATTCATAATTTTCCTATAAAATGAACATTTTATCGAAGGAAATTTGGCAACTCTCGAATGCTCATACGGCGTTTTTCCTTAGCACGGCAGCAATGCGATTTGAGTGAAATCGTCGAGCGCCTTATTAAAACAACTATTCGTGCTCCTCGGTTGTCCGTATGGTATACTCAAAAAATGAAGGCGTTTTGGTTTCTTTTGATCTTGCGATGATGCGACGCGTCGATGTGCCTATTTTGTCTGGCTAATCGTTGCGCTGACGAATAAGTAAGTGGTCCGAAAGCAGATGACAAAGGGCCAACCGGCTTCATTGATTCGTTTACCCTTTCCAAGTATGTACTAGTCGTAAACGAACAAGTTAGGATTTTAATTTTAAATAAAGTTGCAATTTCACTGCAAGAGACTCTCAAGGACTACTCAAGGCTTCATATTTTTCTTCACACTTACAATACTGTACTCGGCTTTAGCAATCGACTACATAAGAAGGAGGAGGTGTTAGTGGCAGCGCCTTAACGCAACTGTTCAAGCTTAGGTTGGCTTCGGAAACCGCGGGGAGCCTTAGGACCATGCACAATCGATTCTATATCTCGAACTACGTAGGATTCAACAATAATCTCGAAATTCTTTCCCGTCCAAAGTCGAGAAAAATCCACACGGTTAGTTATACTACCGTACTAAGGAAAAACGCCGTATGAACATTCGAGAGTTGCCAAATTTCCTCTTAAAAATAGTTATTTTTGAAGTTATGAATATTTCTCCCTGAATTTTTCAGGAGCTTCTGGTGAAATTGCGAACAAAATTATCTGAAAAATTGGAAGAAAAATATTCATGTATTTCCCAGGAAATTCGTGTTTTATCGAAGGAGATTTGGCAACGCCTGAGTGAGGGTTCATACGGCGTTCTTCCTTAGCACGGCAGTATATGGGCTAAAATTTTAGGGTAAAAATCGGAATTTCTCCGATCGAGCTGAAGCTAAGATAGTCTCACTTAATTTGTGTGACCTGTTTGAACCTTTACTCTCGGTCTCTTTTCCTTTTCTCCTCTTTCCTTCTCTTTGTTTACTCTGTCATCCCAGCTGGGAAGAAGGGGGAGCACGATTCTCCATCCCTCCTGAAACCGACGAAGTCCGGAGTAAGATTTGTCAGTGCTTTTGTCTGTCTTAAAAAAAAATCTCACTTTTTTTCGAAGGGAATTGATGAAACTAAGTAATCTTTCTCGGTGGATGTTCCTGTTGTATTTGCAAGAGACCGCAATCCTCATCCCTTTCTTCGCGGCAACTGGGCTCGCTTAGCGATGGACGCGTTGATGCAACTATACAACCTCAACGGATGTCCGGATTGCATTCCAAAAATTGAAGGCGTTTTGATTTCCTGCACAATAGCTGCAGCTGGGTCGAACAACGGACGCATTTGTGACAACGCCTTGATGCAACTATATGTATATAAGCTTGACCGATATCCTTGTGTTATATCGATAGCCAAAGTGCGAAACCACGTCTCTCCATTGCGCTGTTTCAAAATTTCCACTCCTGTTCAATTTTTTCGAAGAGGAAAAAGCCTTTATGGCTTGAAATTTATAGCAAATTTTCTGCTAAGAGAGAGGAAAAATCACGGAGGTCTTACACCTTTTTCCGTTCAAAATATGTTAATCTATAATGCCCGTGCGGGAGTTTCGCTTCCCTCAAATTTTTGGGAAAGTCATAGTTTCTTCTGATTCTTAACAGCGATCTCCGACCCAAAAAATATCGAAAGTTCAAATCAAAGGAAGATAGCAGTTGGTCTTAACTTTTTCAAGGAAAAAAGTGGAGCCCATTGAACCCCCTGAAATCCTCTTTCGCCTTGATATTTCGATGTTTTGCATCTTTTATATATCTCGTGCAATGGTGAAGCGTGAATAATCGATTATCGATATTTCCCCATTTGAAGTTAAATAAGCGAAGAATCAATCATTAAAGTGTTCGTTGCGAACACATTGCTTATCGATCCTTTTCCATAGGTTCAAGTGGTGCATTGCAAACACGCCACGCTACTGATCTCGTGGATTTCATTGGACCCACCTCTTTTGTGACGAACGGGTCCATAGCTTGAGCAGCTTGATTCAGCATTCCCAGGATGTACTCATCGATCCACCCGGGTTTGTTCAAGTCGTACGGCTGTTGGAATACTTCTTTTAAGGGTCTACCACCTGTGGAAGAGCATGAGAGTAATCAAAATATGTTGAGTATGATCAGTGTAAAAGATTACGCTGTAAGCGGGTTGAATTTTCTTGTGGGACCTTAAAAACAAAAGACCGCCTTCAAATCGAAAGGTTTCAATATTTTTTTTTTTTTTAACTGGACGTATGCGCATCTTGCTAAACGGAATGAGAGACAGGTGGATAAGGAGGGGTTTGCTCGTTAGCTAAGGGCCGTAAGAATGAATAGCAATTATAAAGTGTGTTATAAGTGACGTCAGCGGCGACGAGCTCAATGATGCCGCTTTCATGAGCCCTGTTTACAATGGTTTTGCTACATGCCCACGGCTCATGAGTTAGCATACAATTGGACGAATTTCTGTTAAACGGAACTAAGCGCCAAATTGAGTTCCTTTTGAGGGTTTTAGAATCCCGGATAGCGGGTTCTGTCAAACGGAACTGAGCGCCATGGGAAAGCATTGCGAGTATAGGACGGAAATAGCATCTCGTTCCGCAAAACCCGCCAATCCAAGCCCCCCTGCCTCCCTATGGGGGGAGGGGGGTTATATTATCCAATTGACGGTTAATTCGGTAGAATGTAAAATCCCGCTTTTCAATTTCCCCAAAAGAAATCACGCCCATTTTTACATTTTATCTTATGCAGCTCAGCACGAGCACGCCCCACATTTTCCACACTTTTACAGCTCCCGTTACCAGATACGTCGAATTTAGCTATGCAAACATTGCTTTTGCTTTTAAAAATATTTTTAAATTTTTTCTGTGGCTGAACATCATCAAAATGGAAACGAGGTTAGAGGGAAAGTGACTGGAGGTGAAAGCTCAAATACACCTCTTTCGGCACAGAGAAAACCATGATTTTTAAAATAATGATTGACTTTTATTTAGAAAGGTGCGTGCGCCTAATTTGTGGGTCATTTCGTTCCAAACGATGCTAAAAATAAAACTGCAAGAAACACTCTGACCATCAACTTACTAATTTTTGTGTGAGAGGAGCTCCATCTTTCCATCGTTTCCGGAAGGAGAGAATGTCCGAATCTAAAGGCTGCTGCTCCAAAAACAGCCGGTACTGTGGGATCAATCGTTGGGTTGTATTTATTCGAATAACCCTGTGAAATGAAATCCGACAATAAAGTGGGAGAAGTACACGGATACAAAGTTGCTAAAGTAACGTTACGTTAAAGTAATGTTACGCGACAACTCTAGAATGTTGACATGATCGCTACGGTTGTTAATTCAACGTTATACTTGAAATGTTATACTTAAGCAGCCGCAGTTTCCTTAACAACAATCAAGAGCCGTTGCGCAGATGTTTAATATCCAGGATGTTACTTCAGTTTTTTATTTATGTGCTGTGTATACATTTATGCAAAAGAAAGATTGAAAAGAGTGCAGTTGGTGCCGCACGCGATAAGCGTTTATTTTCCCTTCAAGCTCTGAGATAGGCAACCGAATCGCACGCCACACGCCTGGCTCCTCGCTGTAGCGCTGCACTGCCGTGCTAAGGAAAAACGCAGTATGAGCCTCCAAGCGCTGCCAATTTTCTTTTTAGTAAATCATAAATTTTTTAGGAAATTTGTAAATATATTCCTTTTGATTTTTCAATTAATTTTGTTCTCAATTTCACCTAAAGTTCCTGAAAATTTCAAGGGGAAATATCCATAGGTAGCTAGCCTCAAAAATAACCATTTTATCGAAGGAAATTTGGCAACTCTCGAATGTTAGTACGGCGTTTTTCCTTAGCACGGAAGTGCAGATAGGATATTGATGCACCCTTTTTTAAGTCGTCCAAGTAACCATATCAATAGTTTTACGATTAAACCTCTTCATAATGGACCATGCTCAGAGCGGAAACCCGATCTTCGTGGTAATTTTTTCTGGTCCCATGTATGTGAATGAATCTACTCATGGCAAAAAGCTGATGTCAACGGAAACATATCTGGGTCCCGTGAGATTCCGTTTTGAGCATGTTTCACTGTTTTAGTTTATCTTCCTCTTTCCTGAGTTATCCCTGCTAAAAATGATGAGTAGGCTATTCAGAATTCGCCTACTCACATGAGTAGAATTTCCTACTTATATGAGTAGAAATCCTACTCATATCACTAGAATATTCTATTCATAATAGTAGAAAAGTTCAACTCATATGGATTCAATTTTTTTCTTTTTTCAGAAGTGGTGTTTTTGACCAGGAGACACCGACATGGAATGTAAATTTGAGAAATAAGAACATTGTGTTCCTATAATTTTTTTGATGCGGTGACTAGTTTCTGAGATATCGGACACGGTAGATTCAACGCTGAACTCATGTGAGTTGAAATCTCTAGTCACATGAATTGGAATCTTTAGTCATATAAGTCGGCGAAAAGTGAATAGAGAAATTCTGCTCATGAGTTAAATTCTTTTCATATAAGTTGAAATTCTATTCATATGAGTTGAAATTATTTTCATATGAATTGAAATCCTATTCATATGACTTTGATTTTCAACTCATTTGTACTCACCATTTTTAGCAGGGATTTTCTTTTCATTTGACAAAACCTCTAATTTAATAACGGAAGCTACGAGAAGAAATAATTCTACCCCTAGAATTTAGTCAAGAGAATCATATTAAGATTACCACATTTATATTCTGAGGATGTATGTTCGTTCTGCAAACTCTCGAATTACAAAATGCATACCTACCGAGGTGCGATGCACCCTAATTAAATTTTTCCACACCCAAATTTTACTCCAATTTTATCGGATAAAACTTCGATGGTGTACGAAAAAATTACGATAGAATTGACATGATAGAATTGGCTTACTTGTTTTTGGAGTCCTAGACCATTCTGTATGATCGAGGCGCGGCCCAACAGTCGAGGCAAGAATTCTGCGTAAGTAATGTGCTGCACTTCAGCGGCAACGATTGCTCGGGTCTCCTGCATAGCAAAAAGGGGTGTCACATTAACAGGAGTCATTTTGTGGAAAAAAACGAATGTTTCTACGGAAACTTTTTCGAGACACTGTATCAAATTACAATCAAATTTTTTGGAAAGGAAGAAGAAAATGTTCGACAGTTTTTCAGGAAGATCGTACTTTATCTGAGAAAATTTCATAACGTTGGAAGGATTAAGTATGTGGCGTTGTTTTCCTGCAACAAAAAAGTGCTGATAAAAAAAAAAAAAAAAAAAAAAAAAAAAAAAAAAAAAAAAAAAAAAAAAAAAAAAAAAAAAATACCCGTAAATTAATGACCCAGATGGTGCTTGATACCCACTTTCAAGGAATTAAAGGCCTTTTTACAAAATCTACAACCCTTCAAAAAGAGCTGCTCGTGTGACCCCACGGAACAAAGTGCCCTTTTTTGGCGACTCGTATCCCTTGAATTTTGAAAACAAAGATCTTTTAGGAACTTAAATTAAGGACCCAGGTGGTGCTTGATGTCCCCTTTCAAGAAATTAAAGACACTTTTCAAAATCTACAGTCCGTCAAAGCGACCTCTCCGTGAATTTGATAAAAATCATGTTTTGCCCCTAGCCCCCCCCCCCAAATTTTGGCGCACCCCAAAATCACTTGACGTGCAGAAGGAGACTATAAGTATGGTCCTGAATGCAAATTTTGAATGACATTGAACTGATAGGTTTTGAGTTATGGCTGCACACAGAAAAAGAGTACGCCTGACGGCCGGACACACATTTTTTCAAGTATGGTTTTTTCGACTGTGGGCAATTTAAACTGCATAGAAATGATGAAATTTCAACTTATTTTTATTTTTTTTCTATCTTCAATACTTCCTCTACCCACGCGCGGAGCGAGCGAGTAAAAACCCATTTGTCTTCCTCTTTGTGACAGCAAAGCAAGCAAAGGGTAATGAATAATTTTAAGATCAGAGTCATCAGATTGTTAGGATCGATGGCTTAAAAAAAACATGTGAATTTATTGCAAGGTTCCGAAATCTCCAGTTTTGTTTTCCTTTTTCAGAAAGACATTCAACAGAATATCTTTCCAAAATTTACGGAGATTATTTTTGAAAAGGCGAGGAAAATTTACTAAGAAAATTCGTCGGTTAGTTTTTTAACACCGCAGTTAGAAGGAAGCAACCTTTGACTTTAGCCATCATTATGCTGTCTAGCGATTTACTTATTTTTTAACCACTTACTCGGACTTTTGTTTCAAAAATGGAATAGAGGTGCCTAAAATATGACAATTAGGCAAACCTCCTTACCTGGTAGATTTTTTCATCGTCCCAATGCGGATTGAGTTTGCATAACTGGTCGGCGATGCGATTATGTTCCCGCAGCATTACTGTGTGGAGCATGGTCAGAGCCAGTTGTTCATTCACGCGGTTGTCACCTATGCACATCAAACAAACGAGGGAATGAATTATTATAGACAAGATTAGACAAGGTTACTATCAATTAAAATCACCAAACGTCTTAGTAGCACTTACAAGATCGGAAGTAGAATAAGGAGTCATCCGACAGTTTTCAGACGGTCGCGGCTGATAAGACGGAACGTTGATTTCAAAACTCCTGACGGTCTGGATGTAACTATTCTAGCACATTGAGGATGTCCGTATAGCATCGTCGGTAATTGAAGGCGCTCCAATTTTGGTCCAGCGGCTTGGTCGCCCTTGACGGACTAGGCGGCTTTAGGATGGTTTCCGCGAAAACCCTTTTTTTGCCTTTTTGGAGATGCAAAGGATTGCGCGACTTTTTCTAGTACTGAAAACTCGCGAAAGTTTGTACAGAAAGTTTGCGCAAATATTCAATATTCAACGAGGAAGTGTTAATCTGGCAACCTTGCTAGTTTGCGGTAGATAACTTCATCGTAGCAGACTGTTAATGGAGATGTTACATGTGTGAGGAATTTGCGATTTGATTGTTGATTATTATGTAAAAGTTCGTGAGAAACACGATGGTGCCACTGGTTTTCTTTGAAATCAACTCCCAAGCTCAAAACAAGCTCTCAAATTGAGGCCAAAATGGAGGGGATATCCTACCCTACCCTGAGAGTCCACGTCTACATCAAGACAAACTCTCTATGCAAAGATAGGGAGCAAATACATTGACAGGGCTGCCACTTTATTTGGGGACTCCACAACTGAAAAGACGGCATCACTGCTAATGTATTTGCTCCCTATCTTTGCATGAAGAGTTTGTTTTGATGTAGAGGTGGACTCTCAGGGTAGGGTGGGATATACCCTCTATTTTGGCCTCAACTTGAGAGCTTTTTTTGAGCTTGGGAGTTGATTTCAGAAAAAACCAGTAGCACCATCGTGTTTCTCGCAAACTTTTACATATGAATCAACTAAAATTCCTCACACATGCAACATCTCTATTCCCTTATCACTTGCGGGCATATGTCTCTCTTCGCTGGATAGCCCTCGGAGTACGAATGATCAAGAGAGCTTTCATAGACATTTAAAAACTGAACTTGAGACCTGTGGCCGCTATGCACGGCCACCAACTACTAAAAAAATTACACGTGAAAAATCGTAGAACAACCATGTTTTTTAAGAGATGAATGGATTCAAAACCCGACGAAGGCACCCTGCACCCGTAAGAAAACCTATATTTATCTCTGATTGCAACTTTATGCACCACTTTTATGTTTTATTTTTAATAAATGTTTTTAAAAAACCACACAAAGTTTTTCTGAAAAGTTACCGCGAATTTACCTGTATTATCTCAAATAAAAGTATTGAAAGTTGCCACGCGATATTTTCGTTCGTTCTATTTTCTTTAAATGTAACAAAAAAAAAAAAAAAAAAAAAAAAAAAAAAAAAAAAAAAAAAATTAAATAGCATTCAAGTTTTTGAATCTTTACAACGAGTATACTATTTTCCCTTTAACTATGGTAAAAACTGGAGCAAAAAGTCGCGAATGATGACACGCAGTCCTACAGCATTCCTACATTCTGCAGACGCCAATATGTATACGTGTATTTATACGTGCGCCGAATGCACTGCGTTTGGCGCAATGAGAGAAGTATTCTTGCAGTCTTGCAGGCGCTAGTATACGTTTAACGCCGGCCGCACTGTGTTTGGCGCGATAATTCGAACTCGCGTTAAAATAATCGCGGCATCTAATAATAGAGCTTAAAAGGCCCATGTTGTGTTTCGACGTCGCGCCGTATGAGCATTCCATTGTTGCCTTGTTTCTTCCGAAAAAAATTTTTTTCCGAGAGCTAGGAAAATTCTTTATACTCACGACCATTATTCAATCTTTTCACTTAATTAATCATCAGAGGGTAAGACATCGATGACTTGTCAACAAACTAACCTAAAATAGCGTTAACATAAAAATGCCTGCATTTCCCAACTGTTTCCTGTTCTGACAAACTTCTCCATTACATTAACTTCAATTTAAATTCACGCATTCCTGTAGCTGATGTTAAGGTTTCTACTCGCGTAATCCTTGTGCCTTTTTCGCGCAATCCTCATATATTTTCTTAGACCTTCCGCGCAATCCTGGATTACAGACGGACTGTATACCTCTCGCCAAGTGCTTTAAACTTACTGCCAAATTGAAAATTAAGGCACAAGTTAATAGCCTAAAGGTAACAAAATCATTCCATCTTTTCTTTTACATGTTATGTACCATGTTTCAACTCATTCTGCTTATTCCCCTATGGAAAAGTTTTTCTCGTTGATTCGATAACTTTTCGCAGGTGCGATTTCCTCTTAGAAAATGAGCCTGAATGCCAAATAATTCCTAATCAGTTTATGTTTTTCCATCAAAATTTCACGCAAAACACGGTGAACGAACTGAAATTTTTTAAATTCAACACTTACATTAATAATTGGTGCTTGTTGTGTTAAACCCGCTCCGTTTGCTCTTACTAACTCTTGTCAACTCCCGTTCCTTAAACAAATTCCCCACGGAAGAATTGACCATCGAAAGAATTAATATATTTTTGAGACATATGCTCAAACCTTTTTCTCGATTTTTTATTTTTTATTTTTTTTAATTGAAGAAATTGACAAAGATGACAGATGAAGCACCAAGAGGACGTCTACTTGTTCAAGTGGTTGCGTCAAATAAAAACGCAAGAGATGACAGTTTGGCCGGTTCAAACTGTCACAGCATGTCCCCTCCTCGGACAAATTTTCTTAGACGGCGCAGCAAAGCGCGAACAATAGCGGGCCGCACGCTCTGTACATCTTTCTTTTCTATTCTTCACCTGTATCAACCGGCATCTCCATACGTCCGTTGACAAAATCCTCAAAGTAGAAGCATTGTTCTTGACTGATTAATCATAGATCAGCCCAAGTCACGGACAAAGACGCCTCGGCTTTCCAACTCTCACTTTCTTTTCACTTCGATTTCCGTCGGGCTATAGTTAGAATTGGGGTTCGGAAGTTGGTCTGAATCGACGAGGGCCAACTCAAAGGAAGTTAAATCATAGAGTGCCAAAAATACACGCCAGGGTCCGGCATCACAGCGAGAGTCCTTAATTGATGTTAATTAATTACTTAATCATCTGATACGTGAAGCCAATGGGTTTCAGGGTCGGTCCAGTGGGAATATTTCGTCTGAGGGCTACGGTAAAAATTCTAAAGACATTCTTTTCAACTTCTTCCGCTTGAAATCTCCTTACAAATGGTCTTAAACGCAAGCAGCATTTTTCAACGGAAAAATCGCGATATTTTGACATTAGATTGTGATTTTTTCACGATTTTTTTGCGATAAAATCGCTAGGATCATAAATACCTGAGCGGTTATTACTAAATCTTGTCGCAATATCAGATCTTTAAAATCGCGTTCAATAACATCGAAATTTTATCTCAGTTTTGATCATTTTTATGTTCTATAATATTGCGATAAATCGCCGTCGATAAAAGCACGATACGTTCTACGATCAAATCGCAACTTATCGCGATCACTACTACTTGGGAAGTATGAAATTTCAGTGCAAGTAAGAAACTCTCAAGGAAGTTTCGAAGCTTGTCTCGAAATTCTAGCCGAATTTTTCCCACGAAAACATCGAGGAAATGAAAATACTGATTTAATATTCAGAAAATTAATGAATTGGACGTATTGCTGCCAAACGGAACTATGTGCATTATGTCATGAGCCCTGTTATGCACGTATCCTTATTGGTCTCAAGGCTCATGTTCTAATGCACATCGTTCCGTTTGACAGGAAAAAGTCCAATTGAGTTTTTGTCCCCGAGCGCGGGAGCATTTTTGGAATGGTAAAATAACAATTAGCCATTAGACAATCATGAGTTGAACCACATAATTTTTGTTGAGGGCCAAAATGGCACCTCATTAAAGGTTTCCAGGGAAGCCGGCCATCGAGCTGGTCTGTGTGAACTTTCTGGGCGGATCTTGAAAATTGAGACGTCTCAAGAACAATATTTGAGCTCTGGATAAAAAAAGAATTAATTGGACTGCATTTTGCAATTTGGAACTATAAATTCTGGCTCATCTGAAAAAAACACTTATGTGCATAGGGAAACTGAAGGCACATACGTTGTTTTTAAACCGGGCCAGAATTTATAGTTCCAAATTGCAAAATGTCGTCCAATTGAAGCAGGATTTACAAGACTGCATAAATGACACGCTTTCATCAGTGGCGTGGCGTGCTTTGTGATCCATCGATATTTCCCCATTTGAAGCTGTGGTAAATAATCGATTATTAAGGTGTTCGCTGCGAACAGGCTAACACCCTGTTTATCGATTTTATTCCATAGGTTTAAATCACCGATCAATCGATATATCTCAGAGCTCGCCACGCCACTGGTTTTCATTTCGCAAAATGAATGGCTAAGCGCCTCATAATGTCTCTTGCTCAGTGCTCTCTGGCACTCTGAGACGCTTTCCTCCCAAAGCCCTTCAAAGAGTTGGCACTCCCCCATTTTATGTACTATTTCCTGGAGTCACCCTTTTACTAGGTGATCCCTTTGTATCCTCCTAGGAGGAACCCAATCAAGCATCTTTAGCAGCCTTCCCTCTGTCATCCTGTTATAAATACGACTGTGCGCTAACGGTTCGGTCATATTATTTCCGACTTCCATTATTTGACGCACCCTATCATTACGGACCCTCTTTTATCTAGAAATTCCTGCTCATCTCCTCCAAAAATATATTTCCGTTCCTCCCAACGTATCTCCTGTTTATCTTTAAGCTGCTATACCTCATTTTCTCGTGATAAAATCATTTTCCCCACAGCATTGTAAATTTTCCTTCCGCTTTCTCTCGAAATTCGTTGATCCGATAGAGGAATCTATTTAATAGACATCAATATAAAAATGTGATCTCGCGGACTCATTTACGAGCGTAATGAATGATGAGGAGGATAATCAATTCATGCGGTTCAAGATTTTGATCAAATTTGCCCGTCTTGAAATCTTCGAATCAATCTTTCGCTTCAAAAACTGTTCGCATTCACGTGTGAAGTTGGCGTGACTTTCAAGAAATTAGATTATCGTTTTCCTGAGTTGCATTCGTCAAAACTGAAATCTCCACACTAGTCGCAACTTTGCTAAAAGTTCCACTTTCACGAGGCCTCGAAATATTTCATTTGATAACATCAGTTTCAAAATCGGACTATTTCTATCAAACGGAACTATGTGCAAAAAGACATGAGCCCTGAGACCCATTAGAATACGTGCATAACAGGGCTCATGCCATAATGCACATAGTTCCGTTTGACAGAAATACGTTCAATTAATTTCAAGCCGGCAGCGTTGAAACGATACTATCACCGAGATCGGGGTCTCTATGGGTGATCGCCCTTCGAGAGAGGCAATTTTAAAAGTAAAGTTGAAAAATTTGTCAAGTCATTTTGTTGCAGCCTCGGAAAGGAAGAGCAGCAAGGTAAGATCCGGCCGTAATACTTTCCTAAACGAGCCCAGATATCTAGTCACTCAGATGAATGTCAGAGTGTTTCGTTGAGTTATAGGACGTTTTGTATAGCACATGTCTCGTTTGAAACTGATTATTATATGGCCGGTTGCATTCGGAAAATCGTATAGTCTTCCGGACGAAGGAACGTAACTTCATTCCAAGGTTGTCAAATTTACTCAAAATATCGATTAATTTGAAAAATGTACCTGAACAATTGGATTGATTGCATTTTGCAAAAAGGAACCGGGGGCATTGCAACGTTGCAAAGATTGTGCGACTTCTTTTTGTATTGGGAGGAAAACCTTATCCATTGACAGTTTCTATTTCACTCGCTAAAAACCGTAAATTTAAGACAAAAATTATCGAGTAAATTTCATATTTTTTCATGAAATCAGTCATTTTATTGCAAAGGATGAAAATGCACAATCTTAGCATCATTGCAATGCTTCCGGTTCTTCTTTGTAAAATGCAATCCAATTATTTTTTTCAGATTTTTCTCCAAATTTTTCAGATTTTTGCCTGAAATCTGAGGAAAAATCCGGCTAATTTTCAGGTAGAAATGCCCAAGATTCTTCCGGTTGATGTGCCATTAGCGAGGGGAAATTTGGCAGCATTCAAATGGAGTTACGTTCTTTCGACGAAAAAACGTAAATGACGGAAAAACACGAAATTTAAAGAATTTTGACTGAAAAAATTAATTGATTTAACGATTAATTATTTGTATGGAACATTTTGCCAGAGACACCGTAATGCCACTAAGGTTTCGTTTGATATTTACTCGTCACCTCGAAAAAGAGGCTCTCTCTCTCTTTTACAGGGGTAACTGAGAGGTCGTTACGGCAGTATAATGTAGTAGTAAGCGCCCCCAGTCATTTGAATAAAAGGCCAACGTAAACAAGTTGGGGGATAAAGATGATTTGCATGACCCTTGGGACCCTCGCTACATGTTTGAGGATTTTCGAAATAATTTTTCTCACCAGCAAGGAAGCAGAACAAATCTCTGTGAGGTCGAATGCAGCCATCGTCGGGTTGGAATTTCTTCAGGGGCAAAATAGGTTTGAGTCCCTCGTAAATTGGCATCGTCCTCAATTTTCCCTCTTTGAACTCTCGCAGCAATGATCCAATTTTCTCGTTTGAACCGTAGACAAAGTTAGCATCGATGTAGGAAGTCAAAGCATTGGTTTGGACCCGGTATCCTGTAAAGGACAAAAATAGTTCCCATCAATAGAGTGAGCGTGAGGAGAGACTAACAAGGGTCCATCATTTTGAGGTACTTTCCAAGGAGCACATATTTCAATCAATTGCAATGACATTGTACAAATATTGCTATTGAACCCGAGTGTTGTGTATTTCGCATAATCATTGAAGGGGCGCTTCCAGGACTTTATGTCCATCTACCTTTCGTCCATTAAATAAATGTCCACCGCTATTTATGTCCACTTAACGTTAAGTCCACTCTTTATTAAGTCCACATGATTAAACCATGAATATGTCGAAAATTGTCCAAATTGTGGACATGTTATGTCCACATTTTTTCTTCTCATTTAAATGAAAGGAACCACCTCAAAAATAAATGCATACTACTACTACCTTCATTCTTAAAAACATTTCATTCATGAATCAAGTCATGAAAGAGAACAGACTCTAAGAGCAGATAAAAATATATGTTCATGTGTACACTGTACGGATATGATAAGATGAAAACCAAAGCGGGAGCCTAGGAAATACTCCAATGCCAAATTAAACATTTTTCAGTGACAGATGCAGTCAAAATTGAAAGCCCTCTTTAACTAGTTATTTCGTGCGCATTCAATCTTGTAGGATACTGTGCAACGCCTCTGACTCGAAATAGTTGCTTAAAGCGTTGCGGCGCGGCAGGCAACGAGCGTGACACGCGCATAGGCGCCTACAAACCTAACGGGATACTTCACACGTTGCGCAATGCGTGAAGTATCCCGTTAGGTTTGTAGGCACCAGTGCGCGTTCTGCGCTGCTAACACGCCGCTCCACTCTGTGTTGGGCTCAAATATTTAAACTCGCGGAGTCAGCGTTTTTCAACTCATGATTTTGAAATTTTTGCACTCTCTGCATTGATTGTTCCCTTTTAAACTGATGAAAAAGAAATATGTACTACTGTATTGTACTGTACTATTTCGATATTGTCAATATAATTTTACACACGGACTAAAATATGACGCTTGAATTTGATTTTAGTGGACTTTACATTTGTGGACTTAACTTAGTGGAAGTTTAAGTAATGGACTTAACAATAGTGTGGGCTTTAGAGCTGTGGACGTAAAAATTGTGGACGAAAAGTCTGTAGACGTAAAAAAAGTGGACATAAAGTCCGTGTACCGAAGGGGCTCCATGTATTTAAATTTATCGTAATGAAATTGAAATAAGTGGTAATTTCGTTTGCATTACAAATTGCCTACCTTTTTTACATACGGAACTCATTTTCTGGGTCGTTTAAAATTGGCATTTATCAATCGAATGATGTGAAAATAATGCAATTTCATGTTAAAATAATTGCTCTGAATTGCAAAATTACTTCGATATTTTCATTGCGGGCTACAGTTTGGATCGTAGGTGCTGCAATTACTTTCCAAAAATTTTGTGGGTAGTATGTAAGGGAGTATAGGCGATCCATGGACGCATGCCGTAGATGTAAAAATGAATCGCTAAAATTTTTTCCTTTCTCTCACAGACTCGCGTGAATCAACTCCTCTATTCTGCCGTGCTAAGGAAAAACGCCGTATGAATCTTCAGGCGTTGCCAAATCTCCTTTGATAAAGCACGAATTTCTTGGTAAAATTATGCATATTTTCTTTCCAATATTTTAGATGATTTTGTTCGCAGTTTCACCCAAAGTCCCTGAAGATTTCACAGAAAAATATTCATAACTTTCCTCAAAAATAAACATATTATGGAAGGAAATTTGGCAACTCTCGAATGTGCACACGGCGTTCTTCCTCAGCTTGCAGTCTTTAAGTTAGACCTTTTATATTCTTCGGTTAGATTCCATTAAATGTTTCGGCTTTCCGCCCCTCGAGTCTTCTTATCTTGATGGATACGCCGTATCTAGTAAAATATTTATAATTCCATTAAAGTGATGGGCATACAATTTGTATTACTAAACCGCACGAATCACTTTGTAAAAATCAACAATCTAATGATGATATGTTAACTGTCAAAAATCATTGAAATTAAAATTAAAAAAATAATTCCCAAATTAGTATTTCTCCCAAAATTTAAGCTGTACCTCCTGCCTCAATTTTTTTTATCTGCACTGAATAAAAATCTCGGTGTATATACTAAGGAAAGGGTAAAATTACCAATAATTCGGGGTTCTATTCGATCCCAGTTTTTTCTTGATAAAATTACCCCTTTATAAAATTGGTATTTTTACCGAGAAATCTTGGTAAAATTATTGAATTTCTCGGTAATTTTACTGGACATTGGTAAAAACGCCAATATTTTTTATCGACTGTGGTAGAATTACCGAGATAAAATGGCAAAGTTATCGGGAATTGATTACCAATAAAAGTGGTATTCTTACCTGAAAAAACAGTAAAAATACCGGTTTTTAGGTAAGCTTACCAGTCTGTCTTTGTAAAATTACCAATAATTGGTAAAAAAAGTGAGATGGTAAAAGTACCAACGGACGTTTGTAAAAACGCCGAGAATTTTTTTTCAGTGTGTAGAATCAAAGGGGGTGTGGGGGCTTACCAAGTCGGCAGTCAGGACGGACACCAGCGAGAGAACGGACAAAGTTGACGCAGGACTGCGAATGGCTCCTGTAGAACTCATCCTCAGGCGGGAGCTCGATCGGCATGCAGTTGGCGTGCTTCGCACCGTGGCAGCACTCAATGTCTCGACGGGATACAGGGTCTGAAAAAAAATATTTAAAACAAAAATTAGTACTCTTATACTCACAGGTTGGAGGTCATGAATAAAATACTTAGCACTGAAAATAGGATTTTTTACCTCCACCCCCCTCGTCCTCGTAATGTGCTTGTAACACAAGTCCGCTAACCCCCCTCCCCCCCGGAAAACAACTACGCAATGACGAGTCGGCGCGGCCCGCGTGGCGTTAAGATAAAAAGTATCACAAGTTGCATACCCGGCTAAATTAAGGCGTTTTACAGAACTGCACTCGGCAAATCAAATGTATTGCAATTAAAATATTGAGCTGAACATTTCCTCCGTAGCTTCTTGTTGTCCTAAGGAAATACTTTTTGCTTTCAGAAGAACTGTAATTGTGACTGTGATGACGAAAGTCCTCTGCTACCCGTTAGTCAGTTTCCCTGCTTGTCACGATTTAAAAAATGTCACTGTCACGAAGGGAACACAACTTTTTACCTCGCGTTGGGAGGAGGAATCCATCGAGTGGGATGAACCTCCTTGATGCAGCGAGAATTTTTCTCAGAACAACGCGCAACTACGAGGAATATGGTTCTTTTTTCGCATAATGAATTCGATTATTTTCATCGAAGAGTTTGTGCCATAACATGCGCAACCGACAGAAAAAAATGATCGTGTCGGTTACATAGGCGAAACAATACATTTAGAAGTCTACAAGCCTCAGTGAGAGTACATTTATTCATATTTTCCTTGCGGACATCTTTACAGACTCACAAATTTAAAACGGTTTCAAATGGACGTACTGCTGCTAAACGGAACAAAGCGCTAATTTCAGTTCCTTTGATGATTTTATTAACCCAGATAGCACGTTCTGTTAAACGAAACTAAGCGCCATCAAAAAGCATTGTGAGTATACTGCCGTGCCAAAGAAGAACTCTGTATGAACATTCGAGATTTGCCAAATTTCCCTCGATAAAGTGTTTATTTTTAAGAATAGTTATGAATATTTTTCCTTGAAATTTTCAGGAACTTTATATGAATTTGCGAATAAAAGTATCCGAAAAATTGGAAGGAAAATATTCATAAGTTTACTAGGAAATTTGTGTTTTATCGAAGGAAATTTGGCACCGCCTGAAGGTTCATACGGCGTTTTTCCTTAGTACGGCAGCGTAGGACGGGCCACCTGAACCCGCCACTCCAACCCCTCATTCCCCTCACCCTTCTCCCCCTATGGCGTTCAGTTCCGTTCAGCAGAAATACGTCCAAATGATAGGAATAATTTTATTCTTTAAAAAAATGAATTACTGGTGAATCGTTAAAAATGCTAAAAACTGAACTGGCGACACTACTTGAAGCGAATTTTATTTAAAGTTCCGAACCTCTTTGGGAAGTTCTGTCCCGGGTTGTCTCATCAATCACCAACACCATTGGACACCGTTGTTACCAGATTCGACCAATCAGATCCGTTGGTTTTCGATAGGTCGAACCTTTTTTAGAGCCACCTCGCGACGTGGTACCAAAATCAAGCACCAACGGTGCGATTCGTTAGTCACCGAATCGGAAGTTTCGAACTCAAACAGAGTGGCAGCTCGGAGGTTCGGGCGCGAAAATAGTACCGTACCTCTAAATAAAATTCGCTTTATGTATTCCTGTTATCGCAAAATCCCCCCCTACACAAGTTTTCTCGGCAGAGGTGGGTGACCCTCCCGTCTATAACTAAGCTTATTGTTAGAGGTGGAGCTCCGTCCTTATCGCAATTGTGTCCGCGGGAAATTGGTATCGATTCAGGGAAATTGGCGAAGATTAGAGGATGGAGCATGAGTGTCAACCCCCGTACTGCTCCGCTAAGGAAAATGCCGTATGAGCATTCGAGAGTTGCCAAATTTCAATTAATAAAACATGCATTTTCGGCGACATGCATGCACATTTTTCCTTGAAAGTTTCAGATATTTTAGATCAAAAAGCGCACGAAATTGCCCGAAAATTTTGGGGAAAAATATACACAAATTTCCCAGTAATTTCCATTTTTATCGAAGGAAACTTGGCAACGTCTGAAGGCTCATACGGCGCTCTTCCTTAGCACGGCAGCGTACCTTTAGTTTCAGCCGTCAACGTCAGGTCATGATCGATGAGCTGTCCCCACGCGGCGAACATAAAATTGACGTCACGGTAAGTGGGCTTCTGCACGTCTTTGTGCACCTGAGCGGAGACGGTTCGCGCATTTGGCAGCGAGAATTTCTCGATGTGTCCTTTGCGGGGTTCGCTGATGCCTGAAAGCAGAACAAATGTCATTCGAATTATGATGAGGTTTTTCTACTGAGATGAAAGTCCATTAATTTGCGCTTAAAAAGATTCGACGGTTGCCATTTTTTGTGACAAAGTGACGTGCGATATATCGCATCAATTCGTTCCATTATTTCAGCTACTTGTCATTTTTTTCGAATTTTGAGATCGCACATTCTGTTGTCATGAGACTAAAGAATTCATGTACCAAAAACAAAGAAATTCAACGTAATAAAGGCAGGATTTTTTCCTCTGAAAAACCCTGCCTCTGCCTTCATTACGTTGAATTTCTTTGTTAAATTTGGTACATGAATTCTTTAGTCTCGTGACAACAGAATGTGCGATCTCAAAATTCGAAAAAAATGACAAGCAGCTGAAATAATGGAACAAATTGATGCGATATATCGCACGTCGCTTTGACACAAAAAATGGCAACCGTCAATCACCTTAAATTTATAGTTTGCATTCCCTAAATGGAACTTCCACAAATGGAGGCAAATATTTCTGTGTACACATATTTTGTCAAATTTGGTCGAAAAATTGGATTTTAAGCTTTAATCGAACACTTTTTCTAGGGTCTAAGAGAGAATGTTATGAGCAATTTAGGCCATGTAGATACTTAAGAGGAAGTTAGATTCGTTTTGATCCGAAATTTTACCGAATCGCAACCAAATTGCTCTCCAAAAAGAGCCTGTCAAGAAAGCGGCTTTTTTGTGCTTCTCATTGGGAGTACTCAGGGATTTCGTTCAAATGTGGCCTAAATGAAATCTTATGATGAGACAATCGCTTGGTAAAAGTTTTAGCGCGAGTTCAAAGCTCGTTTTGGCAATACAGCGTCACAAATTTACATTTTTTACCATTGCAAAATACTTATATTTTGGGATTTGGAGGTTGAAAAAAACCTAGGTTGATCCCGTTTTATTTTTCGAGACATCACTTGACGTAACAGTGCCTTAGAAAGTTAAGAGAAATCAGCTGAAGTTATTTTTTCAACCGTGAAGAACTTCAAAATATTAGTACCGTTCAATAAATACCAAAATAATTTAAACTTTTCAACGCTGCATTGACCAAACGAGCTTTGAACTTAGCTAAAACTTTCAAAGAGGACTTTATCTTATCACAAGGTTTCATTTAGGCTACATTTGAAAGAAATCACCGAATTCCCCCAAAAATGGGATATTTTTTTACAGGCTCTTTGAACGGTTATAGGGTACAAAGGGTTCAGAGCCCTTTCTCAACTTCGTCATGAATAAAAATTAGTGCTACGAATATGATAACAAATGTGAGGGATTTATGCGACTTGACACCGACATTTCCGTCGCCGCACGATGGATCGAGTCAATTGGAGATGTTGGACATAAAATTTTTGACTAAAACTTTAACTTTTGTTGTTTATTTCGTCACATTTTAAATTTTGAGGGGAACTTTAAGAGGAAATTTTTACGAGGAAACCAGTGGAGCCACTTTTAGAAGCTTTAAGTTTTGTATAAACGGAGTTATAAGCGTTTTAAGTATCCAAATTTTGTCCGACCTCTCCTATTGACTTCAAATTGCGCCGTCATGTCAGTGGGCACGAGACATGACGCAACGTCGTGGCGTGTTTTGCGATTCATCGATCGATTCGTCATTTAAAGTCATGGAAATAAATCGATAAATGGACCGCCTTGAACAGAAAGGAACCAAGCCACATCAGCTATTGCCAAATTTAATTGGGCAATTTAATTTTTTACATGAAAACGGTCGTGCAGATTTTCGTGCAAATTTCAGTGAAAATTCTCCATGGTACGAGGCAAATTCCTTAAAATTTTCAAAGAAATCCGAACAAACGTTCTCTCGTAAACCATTTAAGGTGATTCCTCCCATGAAGTTAACAAACATCGATATATCGAACGAATTTTGCTAAATTACGAGCTTTGCTCTTCTTTCTTTGAAAAAACAGAGAAGTAACAGTGTAGAGGCATACTTCAGCAGTCTATTGGCAAAAAACCTCCTCCGGAAACCGCAAATTAAAGCCAAATGAGACTGAATGCAAAATATCGCATTCGACCAATACTAATCGAATGCGATATTTTCCGTTTAGTCTCCTTTGGCTTTAATTCACGGGTTTTGGAAGAGATTTTTCGCCAATAGACTGCTGAAGTATGCTTCTACACTGTTACTTCTCTGTTTTTTCAAAGAAAGAAAAGCAAAGCTCGTAATCTAGCAAAATTCGTTCGATATATCGATGTTTGTTTACTTCCTGGGAGGAATCACCTATTGCCCAGTTTAACTTGGCAATAGCTGATGTGGCTTGGTTCCTTTCTGTCAAACTCGGTCCAAATAGGGTGTTGGGCACGAACTCCTGAATTATCGATTCTTTAGCATAGCCTCAAATGGGGGAAATATGGATAAGCGATGAGTGAGGCTTGGGCACTGGGATGAGGGGCGATAAGAGTGAATGAAGAGGGATTACCGTCGGCGTATTGGGCGGGGAGGAGGCGCTTGAAGGGGAGGAGAGCAGCGCCCCTGAGTGGGTAGCGGATGTTGTTACAGGCACCGTCCAATCTCCGGTAGCGGGTGGGAGTGCAGTAGAGCCGGGTCGTGTTCACCACCGTCGGACAGACCTCGCGGATGTGCGTCTGGGTCGTGTCGATCTGCTGCAGCAACGGGATCTCGTCCGGCTTCAGGTGGAACCTACGCACCACCATCCCAAGCACATTAAAGATCAGGAAAACTCAACGGAACCTACGCTTTTCCACTCAAAATCGTGTCAGAATTTGAGATATTCTTTGTAGAAACAACGTATAAGCCATGCGGTTGCAAGTTGGCATACATTGGGTGTATTTATGCCGCAGGAAATTAGTGAAATCAGGCATTTTGTCAAATGCCTAGGTAGATAGTCAAATTTTGACGGTCTACAAAATTTTGTGAATTTATGGCAAAGAGCTCACAATTTTTCACTATTTTTGGAAAAATATCTCATCAAACCTACGAACTCTGTTTGTCTTTTCCTCTTCAATTGCCTCTCATATTTTTAAATGTTGAAATTCCAAAAATTCTGTATTTTACGACATGCTGAAAATTTCAAGATCAGTGTCTCTTCAGGAGGTAGAAATTGTTTCAAATACTATTGTGTGTGCAAATGTTTACTGAGAATTTTTTCTTGCAGGAGCAATGAATTATTTTGTCTAAAAGTAAAGAAAGAAGCAGAATTTCAATCTAAGTTAGAAAATTTGACTATTTGCCCAGGCATTTGGAAAAATGCCTGATTTTACTATTTGCCTGCTACATGTATGCCAAAAAGAACCAGAGACCGGTGCAGAAGAAGGGGTGTGCTCGTTATTTGAGGGTCGTAAGAATGAAAGAGAATTATAAAGCGCCAGTGACGTCAGCGGTGACGACCGGGCTCGACGAGTTCAACGACACAGAAAAAATTAAAATGCTGATTTAACAATTCAATTGCTAAAAGAAAGTGACTGCAGTCACTTTCAAACTTTCACAAAGTAGATTTTACAACAAAAAAATGCTACTTTAACCACTGTTGTATAAGCTAATTTAACCACGGGGGTGGTTAAAGTAGCATTTTTGTGTTTTAAAATCTACATTGAAACATTGCAGTCACTTTTTCTAACAATTGAATTGTTAAATCAGCAATTCAATAATTTCCGTAGATTCTGCGTAAACTCATGAGCTCTGCCCTCAATGCTGTTGTCACAGGCCTACGGCTTATGAGTGCCGCATACAGTTGGCGTTTACTTCCTTTTAATAAAATGTAAAATCCCACTTTTCCATTTTCCCAAAAGGAATCACGCCCACTTTTACATTGATTCTCATGCAGCTCAAACGAGCAGAGCACCTCCCATCTTTTCCACGCCTCTGGTTTCTTTTGGCATAAATACTTCAAATGTAAGAACCATACACTTTACCCTTACCTACAAATATTCCATATTTATACTAATTTTTTTCTGAAGAAATGGACTACGTTGCTGCTTGTTTGGTTTGGTACCAAAATATGAAAACCGTTGCACGACCTGAAAGATATAGCAAAGCTTTAAAGTCGTTCCTACAGAGAACGACTCATTTGCGATCGAGTCGGCAAAACAGTACATTGCCGAACTTTCAAAAATTGTGCCGGATTTCAGCAGCTACGAGTGCCAAGACCGACAATCTCGGCTACAACTGACGAGTATTCAAGCTGCTGATACTGTTGAAACAATTTTCACTGAGTCAGCAATGCTATACTTTATAATACTTAATTTTGGATTTTTTCTTTTTTTTCCTTGATTTCATGACGAGTCAATTCTACCCAGAAAATCACTTTTCATTTGGACGTATTTCTATCAAACGGAACTATGTGCATCATGATGTGAGCCCTATTATGCACATATTTTTATGGGAATCAGGGCTCATGTCTTAATGCACATAGTTCCGTTTGGCAGAAATACGTCCATTTTACACCAGCGCGGCAACGTAATCTGAAAAATTATAGGTACCATATCACCCAAAAACATGCATGTTTACCTACTTCCCACGGGTACATTGATTGATCACTGCAGAAGTTTTATTACAGTGAGGCTGTGCTTTCATCGATACGTCCAAAAGCTTTGGCTCGAGCTTACGCTCGAAAGCCGAACATGCATCCCTCAGTTTTCAACGCTAAAAGAGCGGACAGCCAGGTAGTGGATTACGAACGTAACTGTCGGAGTTTAATCTCGCTGGGATCAATGGCTTCGATTCCTTGATTAAGTTTCAACGACCTCATATGTGATTTTTCCATTTGATTGATACTTTGAGAATGTTGCTTCGCTCCGGGAAAAAATGTATTTAAACGCAAGTTCGTATTGATTGCACGTGGTGTGCGCTATTTTTTCGTTATCACCTAACTGGGGTGGGTTGGAGATTGCACACCCTAAAAAGCTCTGACAAATTGGGCCGGATTAAGCAGGAAAAAATCAAGTCACATCCGCCGTTGCCAAATTTCATCGGAGCATTTATCGTTTTTATACATGAAAATGGTAGTATAGATATGTATATACATAGAGTACTTTTATAGGGAGAGTATGGACAACTCGAAAATTTAGAGGTTGGATTTCATCAGGGCATGTAGCTCCTGGGTGGGGCCCAAAACGGCAACCAACCTATGAACTCGAATTATCCGGTGGTACCAATTTTCACAATTCTTACTACCTGTCGATCAAAAATTATAAAAACACGCCTAAAACTTTGATTTTGCAAAAATTTTCTCAGTTTCAAAGTCTTAATCCTAAAAGACGCTTGTAAAATACGTCAAATTTTGAGCGTTTGGTTGCGCGTACACCTCGCTGCAGCACAATAAAAGCACAAAATGTAAAAGAAAAAATTAAAGTGCTTTGGAATTCATTAAATTTGACACGGAACCACCAATATTTAAAAAACACACATTATATCATTATTATTCTCCTTTGATAAATTGATACATACTTTTTTCCCAACAATTTAAATGAGAATAATCAATGCAGAGTGTGCAAACATTTCAAACTCCTGAGTTAAAAAACGCTGACTATGCGAGTATAAATATTAAAGCCTAAGAGCGCGGAGCGGTAGGCTGCCAGCGCGAGAGGCTCACTGGCGCCTACAAACCTAAGTGGATACTCCACGCATAGCACAATGCTTGAAGTATCCACTTAGGTTTGTAGGCGCCAATGCGCTTTTCGCGCTGGCCGCCCGCCCAGCGTGCGGCGGCGCCTGAAGCAACTATTTCACAACAAAGGTGTTGCACAGTATTATACGAAATTGAACGTATTAAGAATGACAGGCATCCCTTAAAAGTACAGAGCTTTCCTCGCAAAATAAATCAAAATTCTTATCGTACACATGATACTTAGCGTGGAATATGAAACGTGAAACATGAAAAATGAAAAATGGAAAACGAAAAATGGCGAATGATTTACCATCGGACGAGGAGCCTGGCGGTTTCTTGAAGAGCTTCTCCAACCTGAGCGATGTCGTCTGGATTAGCATCCTCGGCCTTGCGCCTGACGCCGATCTTGTCGCAGGCCGACCACCACGCCGCGTTCACGTCCTCGATCGTGATGCATGACGACTTTTCTTTCCGCCTGCAACACATTTCCACACATTCAAATATGTGCATTATGACATGAGCCCTATTATGCATATATTCCAATAAATCTCAGGGCTCAAGTCTTAATGCACATAGTTTCGTTCGGCAGAAATATCTTCGGTTGAAAACGCAATCGTATAAAGACGAACGGAAGGATGACATTTCAGGACCGTGTGTTTTCTCGCTGGGCCCACTTTCGCACACACGAGGAATTGACATTGACATTTGGACGTATTTATGCTGAAAGGAAATATGTGCATACGATTTGCGTGAGACATAGTTCCCTTTAGCATAAATACCTTCATTTAATGGGGAATAACATGGCAGTTTTAATAGCGTTATGGAATTTTCCGAAGATTAAGATAAAGACTTGTCGGTACCCCCAAAGATGGTTCCTCCACTTTTTGAATTTTTCAAAGGCATGAATGGGTTGTAAGTCCCACTATTTTTTCATTGCACATGGGGGGGGGGGTTTCTTTTGAAAATTCTTATGATAGAAGACTATGGTGAGATATATCATTGATCACTTTTCTACCGCTGCAGTACATCTTGAGAGCACCTCTGATCGAAATCTAGATATTTTTATTTAGCTATGGAGAGTCGACATTCCCTATTTCAAGCATGTATTTTGCACCGATGCTGTAGACTTTTTTCAAGTTCTGCAGGACGAATTTTAAAAAAAAAAAACTTTTTTTTTTGATTCCTTAGAATGTTTTCTAGCTTTAGATTAGATGATTTTAAACAAATTCTGATGCTTAAAATTTTTATACATTTCTTAAAAATAAATAAATTAGCAAATGAGACCTTTAAATGTATTTTTTCCTCTTGAAGAATAATAAGAAAAAATCCTCTCGTCTATAGGTAGAAAGGAAAGTTAGAGAAGAAAAGGTTTTTGAAAACCTATGCAAAAGTCCCTGAAGAAAGTGTACCTTCAGGTCAAAAAACCTGTTTAAAGTCTTAAACACACATAGGTCGCATCATTCCGTTTGACTTCAAATGTTGCAAGACATATTCAATAATGAGTAGATTTAGAAAAATAAATAAATAAACTCGGTTTTAAAATACAGCTGAAGATATGTAAGATTCGATTAGAAAAACCTAAAAAACAAAAAAAAATTGAGGAAAAAAAATACTGCCAACTCCGCTTAAAAAAAGAGTACCTTACAAATTGCTATTAGCATCTTATTTACCTTGTTTCGAGGCTTTTGTCATAATGACTGGATTCTCGGAGGTAGACAACACAATCTTTATCCCACTGTGATTGGGCATGCCAGGCATCCGTCCAGGTCGTCAATAACATCAACATGAACCACCTGGATATGGAAAGGGAAAATGTTCATCAGAGAACTGAGTATAAGCGAACTTTCATCAAAGACACGGAAAATCACGGTGCAAAAATCAGGACACACATTTGCCAAAGAGAGGAAATCGTGGAAAATGACTTGCTTACATTTTTGAAATGAATATAAGAATAATCATCACCGATGGTAAAATAAATTTTTATCCAAGAGTTTGAGTTAAAACTAATAATGAAATATGAGCTGCATGAGCTTTTAAAAATTCATTCAGATAATGAATCACGATGATTTATTATCTGTTTTCGAATGTTAAGTATGTTTCTCGTCAAAAAAATTGAAATTGCAATAATTTTAGATAGCATTTTGACTTATCTTTATGGGGGAAGGTTTCGCTATTTTTTATGATGTTTGAATGAGAGAGGACTAATGGTCATGTAATACATATAGAAGCACCTTCGCATATTTTTCACAGCGTGAAGAACTATACACTATTGTAATATTACTACTGAGTATCCTCTTATCCTGCCTTGATTACCTTCTTGTAATGGGTAAAGCTTAAGAATGAAAATTAATAGTGTATTTTTTTTTCTCGTTTATGTTCATGGATTATCATTAGATATCTGAAGAGACTGAGGATTTTGACTCCAAGAGAAAATTTCAGAGATTCTAGCGTGATTTTTAAATTTCCCGGGAAAAACCCAAGAATTTGCAACGAGAATTATTACCAACCCCTCTCAGTCCGATTAAAAAACATTCTAAAAAAAATTCCACACTTAAAAGTGGTTGAAACGTGGGGATGAGCTTTTTTGGCACCTAATTAGCTCTGAAAATTGTATTTAACAGTACACAATAACACTCAACGCGGAGGAATCAAGAGTCGTTTGAACAAAACCTTAAAATTTTCAGGATTATGAATGTAAAATGAAGGCATTGAAGTAACCACGAATTTTTTGCCGCACGAAGCATCACAAGTAATCATTATAATCCATCAGCCTGTGCACATCGTAAAACTTTGTAAGATGATCGTTTTTCGTTCGATCATAGGATGAAGTCACTTCACATGATGTAGAAATTGAAATTGCACATGTTTTCATTTAAAAAAAAAAAAAAAAAAAAAAAAAAAAAAAAAAAAGAAACTGACAATTCACGATGTAAAAAAATCACATAGTCATAATGCGAAGAAAATCGCCTATAAAGGCGTTACGAATGGATCCGGTAAAAATGGGCTTGGAAATGAATGGTGAATTCCGTTGGAGGATGCGCGGGGTATCACTCTTACCTTATCATGGCTAATTATTCCGCTAAACACATAAACTTGAATGGAGGATGAAGGATGTTAAGGGAAGCCCGGACGACTGGCGAATGAGATGAAACACCTTTTCTCCCAAGTTAATATCGTCTCCCATTATGACGTCACTAACGAATTGCTCATCCAAAGATTTAGTTTGTTTACTAGGTCAACAGCTGAGAGGAGACAGAAGAGAGCCCGGTTGCAGCTTCTATCTGCACCGTCGTTGTCACATTTCAGGAGAGATTTCATTGGACGCAGCTTTTACCAACTGCCGCAAGAAAGCCTCCATTCCTGTCATTTGGACGCAGATGAAGACTCTGGTTCATTCGAATACATCAAAGGTTTTCGTTATGAGAGCTGAACTTTATTCCAGCTGATCAAAGTTTTTGTGAACAGTGTACAAAGATAAACTTTTCTTTATCAAAGACTTCCGTTATCTGAATCTTTGGTTCCTTTAACAAAAAAAAAAAAAAAAAAAAAAAAAAAAAAAAAAAAAAAAAAAAAAAATTGATCATCTGGCCCGAAAATGTTGGTGTTTTACATATATTTGAATCTCAATGTGTGTCCACGTGGCCAAACTGAGTCGATTGCGTGTGATATGAAATTGCGGTTTGATGGTCGAATCTTGACGATGATAAAAAAGTAATGAAACTCATCATTAAATCGCTAAATTTTTCGGTCTAGTACCAATATGAATAGAAATCTTTGAAAAAGGAGCAATCTACGTATGACGTTATCCACCGCGCAGCAGTGAATGCCATTTTCAAGATTGACTGATTTAAATTATATTCCTTGCTGATTGATGATGGTGAGTGGAGGTACTTGACATTCTGCTTATTCATGTTTTTCTTTGTTTTTTCAAAACAAGGTTTATTGAGCTGCAAACTTAAAATCGCCATAACTTTATTTGGTTCAACATTTTGAGCGATTTCATGTTAAGATTTTCACTCCTTTTAACAGTAAAATTTCTACGCCTTCAACAAATAAACCCCCTTAAACAGAAATGACAGTCATTCAGTTTTGAGTTTTCCAACACTAAAATCCCTTCCACGGGGGGACGGTGACTCAACCTCTCCATTATCTCCACCTTTCTTTTGTCACGCTTTTATGGTGTGAAGAGGGATTCAAAATTGATATTTTAAATCGAGAATTGGCAACTGTTCTCTGAACCTGATTTCTTCTGGAATTAAATGCAAATGCTGCGGCGAGCGCCAGCGGCATGGCGCATGGCGCTAGGACTGCAACTAAACATCGCTCAATGGTCAGAAGATCATAATAAGTTTTGTCTTTTATCCAAATTTTGTTTGCAGGTATATTTGATTTTTGATTTCACTACCAGTAGGTCGGAAATATGAAAGTTCTTACTTGTCCTGAGAAGATCCCTGATTTTAAATTTTAATTCTGATATCATCCCGGAGGATCTATCTAGAGGGTTCTGTACTACTGTGCGACCGTGCTCCTCGTCAATCAAGTGGCGGATAAAATTCGTTTTAATGCTAATCCGAGCTATTTTTTTCATAGCTTGTCTACGCTTGAGTTAACGATAATTAATTTGACGCTACTTCACGACCACAAGCGCAGCTTGGCCACTTTCCTGAAAGTTGTCGTCGGTTCGCGTTATCTTCCGTTGCGCATCATAAACACAGCCTCATCCTTGCCCTTCACCTTAAATCAAGTCATTGTATTGCTGCTCATGAAACTGTCATCCATATTCTTTAGTATAAGCATCTGAGATAAGCTGAGCTTGCTCTCTGAAATCTGAATAAATATGACATGAATGTATGTGCACTGAAAAAAAAAGTATCACAATCTCAACTACCTATACTTCTAGCTGATTTTGGCGCCAGCCATAAGAGTAGTTGCACTATCTAGAAGTGTAAAGGCTTCAGCCAGCGATATAGTTAATCCAACCACACTTATGCTGACTGTGAGGGCACCAACTAGACGTATGGTTGATCCAACTACTCTTTCAGCTGACTTAACCATACCTCTGGCTTGTGCAACTACTCTAATATCTGGCGCCAAAATCGACTGGAAGTATAATTGGGATTGTCATACTTTCTTTTCCGCGTGAGCCTTTAGAATCTGAATGAATTTTAAATGTGTCTTACTGAGTGTAGCAAAGCGAAGCTACAACAATCTGTAGATCAGATCGAAGTCTAGACACTTGCAGAACATACTTCATCCCCATTAAACTGTGTTTCAATTACGATGACACCTAATCTATTACAATCTATTGAATTGTCGAATTTTGTCGGAAGCCCAATTATAATTTCTCTAAGTCCAAATACTTACCAGCCGAAGATATGCCCTCAGGCGATTCCGGCGTGTCTCACACCGCGGTGTAATGCCGTGGAGTCTGTTTTTAGTCGAGGTCGGCCCATGTTTTTGGTCAAACTAATGAGTTTGACCCCAAGTAAGCTTAGTAGGTAAGCTTTGTCAAATAAGAACTTTGTTTATTATTTTTTCAATCGTTTTGTTATCAAAACGACAGTTTAGAAAATTTTCAAAGTTTATTATTTTTCCGGCCAAACCTACATAAATTTTTTTTTACCGGCAGCGCCCTACCCTCATATCGGGCTGAACTATCTCTTGTGAGATACACGAAACCTTTATGAGGTTGGTGACAGTCGGTTAAAGTTTTGTATCTATTTGCAGCTTTTTATCTCCACGAGAAAAAAAAAAAAAAAAAAAAAAAAAAAAATCCAATTTACATAATGCCCAGATCATTATGATTTAAGTCTCGACCGTTTCATCTCTTTGACTTTTGTAGGGAGAAAGCATGTAGGTACCAATGACGGAATGACGGGTATACATTTTTTTCATGGAGCATTAAAAACTTACCTATTATTCATTTATATATTTTTTTTTTCAAATATTTAAAAACATTGAAGCATGCAAAGAGAAAGATCATGGAAGTCCTTTATGGAGTTGAGAACCTACAACAACATAGAACACTTGAATTGTATTTTGCAAAAATGAATCACAAGCATTCCAATTTCGCTAACATGGTACATCTTCTGTACCTGACAAATATAAACTGATCATTAAAGCAAGTTTTATCTATAATCTCAATGAACTATAAATTAAATACAAAAATTACCTCGGTAAATTTAATGTTTTACAAGGTTTCAGTGATGTGTAAGTTGCACAATCCTAGCACCATTGGAATGCTCTTAGTTCCATTTTGCAAAATGCAATCCACTTAATACAAAGCGGCTACTGTGTTAGCCTTTTTCTTACAATCTCCAGCACAAATTTTTAATTTCCGACGTATATTCATAAATTATATACCTCGAGTTAGGTTAGGTTGTTAGTTAGTTAGGTTGCGCTTAGTTCGGAGGTTCACATAATCAGCGCTACTGAGAAAAATATGCGTATTTTTGTATTACTTCTGGTCAGTGTCAGAGAAAATACAAAACTACTCAAAGTTAGTGAGGAAAGGTGTGTGAAAAGCTCCGTTTTTTTCATCAAATGTGTTATTTTCGGTATTGTTTGCGCTGAATTTTGAACAGAAAAGAGATAAAAACCCTAAAATCAACCAAGGGCAAGTTGCTTTGCGTTCCGCTTGCATTCCCATAGTAAGCGAACTTTTGCTTGATTTTTTCCTCAGCGTGGCAACCTCGTGTTGTAAGGGCAATTCAAAATTTCTCAGGGGAGATAAATTTACCTAATTTTAAGAAGCGAGGAGATGCGCAATAAAAAGTTGGTGGATATGGTATCCGTTGCCAAGGGTCCGTCGGAGTTTTGGTTTTCTCTTTACGCGGAGGAGCAGTCACTCATTTAGCGTTGATAGTGAAAATGAAGCCAGGACAAAGCTCGCAAATGCCCCTGCGACCTGTCTTGGCAAGACGCGACCGTGCTGTAATGAAAGTTCCCGCTGAAATTTATGGATGCGCAGGGATCCAAGATCCAGCCGGCCTAGAGGAGTAGTTTCCACTGCGTCGCAACATTCAATGTCAACTTTACTGCCTGAAAATATATCCATGCCATGTTCATGAAATATGGGTCTCGCGTCCATGTTTGGCGAAAGTTTTTTCACTCTCACTTTTACCCAACTCGCTGGATGATACAAGACATCGTCCATGAACTTGTTATACAACACCGTGAGGACATTTCTTTTCTAGCCGGATTATTCTATAACATGATGTTACAGCTATGCTACCCAAGGACTTGTCTTCCAGATTATTCCACCATGTACTCCTTGTTAAGCTCCTGCGCATGACTGTAAAGTATCTTTTTAGGGAGGGTATAGACACTGCGGGATCCATTTTTGACTGGCTTTAGAAATCAAAGGTTGCATGGTGGCTGTTCGGCGGCTACTTAGCGTTTTTAGTTGCGCAGCGAGATATCTTACTTTTGTAGCCTGACGTTAAAGTCTTGAAAAAGATGTAGGAGCAATACAGCTCTTATTATTTAGAAATCGGCACTTCTGCAAGTCCAAAGTATTATCCTTTTTCTTACTCCACATTTCCCATTCCTGAATTGTTACGCAGCAAAATGATTTACTTTTGTAGCGTGTCGTTAAAGTCTCCAAAAGGTGTAGGGGCAATACAGCTCCTAATATTTAGAAATCGGCACTTCTGCAAGTCCAAAGTATTATTCTTTGTCTTACTCCTAATTTCCCATACCTGAATTGTTACGCAGCAAAATGATTTACTTTTGTAGCGTGTCGTTAAAGTCTCCAAAAGGTGTAGGGGCAATACAGCTCCTATTATTTAGAAATCGGCACTTCTGCAAGTCCAAAGTATTATTCTTTGTCTTACTCCTAATTTCCCATACCTGAATTGTTACGCAGCAAAATGATTTACTTTTGTAGCCTGTCGTTAAAGTCTCCAAAAGGTGACTGTGCAAACAGCTCATTATTCCGAAATGATAACGTCTTGATAATCCCAATTTAATTATTTATCACTTATTTTTCTATTCAGAAGCACTTATAAAGATGTGAATGGTAATACTCTCCTGACAGATGAGATATACTTTGAGGAGTTGATTAATTTTTGCACATCGTGGCATATCGGCGGCGGGCCGAAAAGAGCCAACTCATGGGATATCAATTGGGATATTGTCCGGGCTGGAGGGCG